AAATATGACGGACATGAACCAATGACAACCACTCAACTAAAGGCATCTGACTTGGGACAGGCACATAAAGAATGTGGCGGGGTTAAACATGTTTGTGAGCGCTCAACCCTCCCCTAACCTGTGAGAGTAGTGTTACAGCACAACATAAGAACAAACTATAAAAATCAGTTGAAAATGGCTTAACTCATCAGATGGATTCAAAGCAGAAAAACATCCAACAAAAACACAGATGAGACGTGGCAGGGTATTTATAGATCCCTAACAACAAAAAAGACACAAAAGTACTGTTCTGAGAGTACTTGCAGTTACTGACAGCTAGTTCAAAGCCAATAACAACTAATAAAAGAAATCATGTATCTAAGACTAATATATCAATCAGTACACATCCCAGTAATAAGTGAATGACACACATACATTTTTATGTACTTCAAAGAAAAGTCAAAGTACAGACTTACTGAACTGTTAAAGATAAATTCTTGTGGCTTTTTTTGAACCCATACACACTAGTCTTTGCATTTGCTACTCACTGCCGTGTGGCAATTGTTGAGAGCGAAATAGTCTTTAATTTGATATGGAAGGGAATTGAACTCTCAGCTTCACACACTTGAAGGGAATATCCTATGGGTCAAATTCATTTGTCTTTTTCTTTTTTCTGCTGTTTAGCTGATCTGTAAATGATGATAGAAGCTGTGATTCTGGTTTAATAAATTTTACAGTTTATTTGGAATTTCTTTCCAGTAAACATCTAACTGTAGTTTAAGTTTTAAGTTGGTAAAATTCACTAATGTATTGTTTTGGAAAATATATATAATTGACCTTGTTCTGGTACTCTTTTTACGATTGTTACTATGTTATATAAACATATAGTGTTCAAATGTACAAGTATATGTATACTCATGTCTTTTAAGTTGTAAATCATTGTCAGGTGAAGTATATTTCCAGTGATACATTTCTAGATTTGTTGAGATTATAGTTTGTTTTTGGTTGACACATTCTCCCTCTTGTAAAGCACTGGTTGGCACTAATCATGACCTTTTCTGTAAGATTCTTAATCTTGACTTGGCTTCTATTAAGGTCTCTACACAGTGCATGATAAACTATGTTTGATCAAAGTTGAGGAAACACCCAAATAACAACATCAAACACATTCAACATATAGGATAAAGTTACATCAAACTTGTTTGATGAAAGTTGGATGATTTCGAATTCATCTTTTTTAATCCAACACAATATTGCTGACTAAATATTTAAAGTTACAACTTGGTTTTATTCAGCAAGATACAATAATTGATATATTTTTGGTTACTAAAGGTTCACCAGTAAATATTTTAGGAATATTTAGAATGTGAACAAGCTCAAAAATAAAACTTATTATTCTGTACTTATCTAATTGAGAATAAGTTTTACAAATTCTTGCTATTGTTTTCGTACAAATTTTGTTGCCTTTATAAATCAAAAAGTACCGGGTATCAATTTACATTTTGTGATGTTACACTGCTATGTTTATTATGTTCGGTGATGTGAAACCCATCTATTATAACAGTGTCATCGGTCACTTCAGTACTAATACATGTAATTACCTGGGTGTTTAAAATTACTTAATACACTATGTGTGGTATGTAAGGGGCTTGTATCATTTGAGTAATCTTAGTTTTAAGTTCATAACTCTTTTCATACAAAATGATGAAGTTACTGGTGAACCTTTAGTAACCAAAAATATATGTATGTACTAAAATATTTGTGAAAATACCATTTCAGTTTATAATGTACAGTACAAAAATTAGTCAATCATACACTTCATGCCACAATATTAAATATCTCATGTGAAAGTCATTTCTCATGATTGAAATTCTTAGAAATACTTTTATATTGCATGCCACATTATTAAATATCTTCTAATGTGAAATAATAACTTTTGATGTAAATTCTTAGAAAAAGACTTTATTTCATGTCACATTATAAAATTATAAAATATCTACTCATGTGTAGTTGAACCTTTAAAATATTTCCTTTTTTAAAATTCTTTTTAAGAAATGATTTATAAACTTTGTAGATATCTGTTAATTATTAAGAAATTTAAAGCTACAAAATGTAACCAAGCATATAAATGTACATGTATATCGTGTACTAGGGAGAAGACTTTCTACCACAATACATAGAAAGAAACAATATTTCATGCATATTCAGGAAAACTACGATTGTTATTTGAAAAGTAGGTGGACTAGTTAGACAAGACAGTGGCAGATAATTTTTACTACAATGAATAAGGCAATAAATGTATTTGGATTAGTTATCTACGGGGATTGGGAATTCATTATTATTCGTTGGATACCAATTTTAAAGGTTTAGCTGTACCACAAATTCAAATGTTCAATGAAAAAATTGCAAAATTCTGGTACCCATGAAAATAAATGAATCCACAGTATATATATGGACCCCACATGCAAAAGAATGGGAGCTTTGGATTTAACATCCTCTTGCCAATCTAAATTGACTTGAGTATTTATACATTTCATATCCAATTGAACAGCATTCAGACACCAATCTTTCTGTCACATGTAAATAAGTAACTAAAAGGATAATTCTGTACCCTAGCTATCTGGGAAACTTTTCAATATTACTTCAAAGACTAAAAAAGAATTCACAAGATGATGAATGCCAGAAAATGCACATATGGTACATGTTAATTGGCTGTAAAGTCAAATAAATGGAAACATGGTATTCTTCATCTAAATTCAAACAAGCATAACTTTAACACTTTACCAGGAACACACAGCTGGCTATTTCATTAAATGATGTCATTATTTCTTAATCTGTTATTATACAATAGAGTTCAGTTTTTAAAACATCCAAGTAATTTTCTAAATAATTCATAAGATATTTATAGTAGGTGCATTTCAATTCGTTATGGAATACACTTATATAGCAGGATAAAGGAATCTTATTTTTTCTCTCTAAACTACAACCCTACAGTTTTTGCTGTCTTAATACACTTTCTCTTGATTGGTCAGAACCATTGTTTAAGACTTTTAAAGATATGCCAGTCTGAAAATATCTTGGACATTATCAAATGCTATGAAGTTACAAAGAACAGTAAAATTGATTTATTTCATGAAGAGCTTTTCTTTTTGTGGAATTCATAACTATTAAGGAATGTGGCGATTATTTATTTTTCCTGGAATTTCCATGAAATTTGCATTTAGGTTATTGAATTGAAGGTGAAGGGTAATGCTGAACTAGTAACAACAAGGATTTAGCGCTTAATTAAAACTATAACAAAACCACCTTCTCAGTGTCAATTTCTAATTTTCATGAATGAGTGTATAAACAAGTGTTGTCATTGAGTGAGGTTAATTTCTAAGTTAATGAATTGATATCATTTTTTTTCTGAGATATTGACATAATATTGATCGTAAAGAAAAGGTTGGTTCATGATTCAGGAATTAGTCACCGTCTGTCACTGAAGTTACATAACGGTTGATGAAGTGATCTTAGTCTTTATGTTTAGTGTGAGGATTTATAGGTTAAAATTTAGTTAATAATTAGTAATTCATATTGATTATTAGTTGTTTGGGGAATTGCTTTTGTAATAAAATTTACACATTTGAGATTATGCTGAAATGCACTTTTCAGTTATGTTTCAATTTCTTACAGCAGAGTACAGAATTGATTCATCGGTTTTAATAGAACGCTATGGCTGAGTCAGAATGACTAAAACAGACGATAATCATATAAAATAAAATCTATTTAGTACCTGTCAATACAAGTTCTACACCAAAAATAGGATTAATGATTGTCTCAAGATTGTTTGAAATTGTCTGTATGAGCTGTCCCTTTTTATAAACTTTTAAATTTTTTTATATGAGACTTTCAGGTACCTTTCCACATTGTTATATGTTAAAAAATCAGGAATTATTTGCGATTTATAGAGAAAAATCATTTAAATTTTGGAGCATTTAGCAATGATTTATTTTTAAAACTAGCCTGACTAACAAGAGCTAGCCATGCATACATGTCTTAGGGGTTAGTTAGTTTTATATTTACTTCTATGTAAACCCATTGAAAACACTTTATCATGCATGATTTACTATTTTTTTTCAAAATGTTCATGATTTTCTATTTTTTACAAAATGTTCAAGTTTTTATTTATTCCCTGTTATAAAGTTATTTGATAAGACCCGTTTGGATATTTAGCATTTTATTCTAGTAACAGTTTATACATTTTTCATCAGACAAAAACAGCTGATTTGGTCTTTGCTAACTAATGCTCATTCAACATGTATGAGCATTCATTGATGTTGGTTTAAATTCCTATTTACTAAGTGTACAAGGGTATAGTGAACTAGAATTCGGTTGTTGACTTACTCTATTATGTATCAAGGAAATGGTATAACCACATGAAAACAAGAAAATTATTAATGCACCTTGTAATATCTGAGGGAGATAGCATTATCAATGGAATAATATGGGAAACACATGCAGTAAAATAGTTGTAACTGTCCAAAACAAATAAAAATCGGCCTCATTAGACACATTGTTGTGAATATGAATATTTGCACTGTTAGTATAGAATAATGATTTTAACAGAAAGGGTGAAAAACCTCTTAGCCTACATATTACATTATACAGAAATTTTAATTGGTATTATATATTAATAGTAGCTTTTGTACAGTAAATTTGGTTAAAATTTTGGAAATCATTACTCATATTGTACTTTGTTGCTGTCTTTCTACAATATTTACCGAATGTGTCTTACAATATTATTGTATTGAAGATAATTATTATCCCTAGCCCTTGGTTGAAATAGTATGGATATTGTATAACATGATCTTCACTATCATATGTCTGACTAGGAGATGGATGGGTGTGCACAAGAGCAGTTTTGTTTACCATTAATGTAAAACCCAATTACACCACAAAAAAAATATAAAATAAAACAAAATATAATTTATTCTGACGGCAATCAAGATGATTATAAAATTTTAATTATTTCATTACAGATTGAGAAACCACAGACAGTTGGTTTATCATACAACACAAAAGATCAATGGGAAATTCCTAAGTCATCTCTGAAACTTCTACGCAAGATTGGTCATGGTCAGTTTGGTGAAGTATGGGAAGGAATGTGGAACAGTACTACACCTGTAGCAATCAAAACATTAAAACCAGGTAAGTCATCACATGTAGACAGATAAGTGAACAAAAACAACATCTAAGTTAAAGCATCAGAGAATGTCGTCATCAAAGAATGTGGTCTCATTTGTAGTCTGATCATATAATATAAACAGAAACAAACAATAAAGCGTAGGATGATGTCATAATATATGTAACCTCAGATCACTTAACCAACACATCTAAAACAGTTAAACCATGAAACCATAGGATAGTTTCATTCTACAACTTGAAAGGTAAAATGACAACACTTGAAACCTCAACATATGTAGCACTATAACCAACACAAACATGTAGTTATCAACATTTGTAAGCTGAGGTGAGAGTCACTGTGAGACAAATTCAAACTCAGTTTGTAATAAGATGAATGCCTGTCAGGCTTCTGGCTATTCAGAAATCAACATTATGGCTTGAAAATACCTCATGGAAAGACTATGATCTTTATTGAATTTGGGATCAATAGGTTGAAGTTCAAGTACATAGGAGCAATTGATAGATTTATGCAAAATTTTAGTTTTCAGATGTTTTCTTTTGAACCATATGTCTAACTTTTACCAACATTGGTTTGATAATGCCCCATGGGGTGAGGAAGACCACTTTTGTTTTTAGAGTCAATAAATAAACCAAAAAGGACACAACTGGTATTGACAAAATTTATACCAAATTTTGGTTTCCACATGTTATCTTTTGAGCTATATGTCCAACTTTTACCAAAATTCTATTGGTAACATCCCATGAGATGACAAGTGTCCATTTTGATTTTAATAGGACTATGGTCAAAGTTCAAGGTTACAGCAGCAAACGATAAGCTAAAATTTTGTTTTTGAATGCTATTTTTAAACCATATGTCCAACCTTCACAAGGCCTTGGTGACCAGTGGTCTAAGCAGTTTATTTACTGTATCACTTGTCAGTTTTAGTGCTGAAGGTCGATGGTTCTCTCAGGTCACAGTAACTCCAATATTGGGAACAGTTTTGTTTCAGGACAATATCTTTTGAGTCATAATTCAGATCTTTAACTATCTTCAGTAAATATTGTGCTTTGAAAAGAAGTCATACTTAAAGTTTACAGTCGTTAACTTATTCTTTCAAACCTAAAATGTGTTTCTTGTGCAACAGATCCCTAAAGATGGCAATATAGCTTATGCACCATTGATTCATCGATCATTTTCTATTTGAGGCAGTTAATTATCAAAAATCAGAAAGTTTTTGCTTTGTAAGCAAGAGAAGGACACCTGTTAGCAAAAGTTGAGTGTAGTGGGTTTTATTGTTAGAACTTGGACCGGTGATATAGCCATCTTTTCTCAAAAAGGATAATGATATATACATTTAAGAAACTGTTTGTATACCGGTAATTTCCTTAGAAAAACAGAAAACATATAATTAAAAAAATATAAGAAACAATGGCATACAGGAATCCAACAACTGCTGTTTTCCCACAGCTTATAGACCAGCCTATAAATTTCTAAATTGTGACTTCGTAAAGTAGTGATTCTGTCTGTGAATGCAATATTACTTTTGTAGTTAGTTTACTTGTTTATCACCTATAATTATTAAAGATAATCAGATTAACTTTGAAGTGAATTCCACTTTCAGGTACTATGGATGCCAAAGATTTCCTTGCCGAGGCTCAGATCATGAAGAAATTACGACATCCTAAACTTATACAGTTGTATGCTGTTTGTACACAAGACGAACCAATATTTATTGTTACAGAATTAATGAAACATGGAAGTTTATTGGATTTCCTACAAGGTTAATATGAATAAATATCAGTTCTGATTTACCACATTTAAAACATTTTCCATTACAAGTGACAAAAATATACCAGGGTGTATTATAGTGCAATTATTTATGCATCTATGTATTCATATTGTATGATGCACCAGTGCAATATCAAGATAATTGTATAAATCATACAGTGATACGAGATAACAAAAAACAAAAGAAATCAATAATCGCCTTATGCTTCTACATATAGAAAAATAGAAAAGTATTAGTTCACAAAGGGTGTCCAAAAATAACAAGTAATAATGTCATGGAATACAATTAAATTATAGCATTAGAAATAAACTTATGTAAAAATATAAACATGATGAAGAGAAGGTACAAAATCATTGTTCAAAGTAAGTACAAAAACAACAATGGTTTACTACAATAGTAAATGGCACACAAAATCATGAAACGGCAGTATGAATCCATGTAAACACTTCATGAAAATATTGTTGATACAGAAAACTGTGTGACACTAGCCATGACCAATGGGTATGCAAATTACCAGTGGAAAATCAATGCATAATAAAATTAAAATAAATTCTTCAAATGACCTACAAATTGGTTATTACTTCTCAAACCATAAAACAGGACAGGACGTTAAGTTAAGCAACAATCAATCAAAACATAATTCTGAATTAATGCAAACTGTTTCATTAACATACAATACACAGAACTTGTGAATGATACTATGGCATATGCATTTTAACAAGTACGACAAAAAAACAAGTGTTCTGTGTAATAAAACAATGACAAATAAGAATATGCTGTTATATACATGAATCTTATCTTATAAATATTATTTAGCATTTTGCTTATAATTACCAAGACAAATATTTCCACAAAGAATCAGTACAAATCTTCTTCATTGCATTAAATAAACTGTATTTTCAGTAGAATGGAGCAAAATTTTGTGAAAAATGAAATCAACAAACATTAAAGGACACTTCTTCCCATTAAAAATGTATTGTCCCTTGTATAAAAAAGTGATGTCAACAGAGAGTACAGGTGTTTTTAGAATGCCAATTTTCAAGGTTTATACACTTCTATATGAAGTGAATTTAATGTTGCACTCAGTACATGTGTTTCATTTATATAACATCAAAATTTTATCTGATTGTTTCAGTTAATGATCAAAGCAGAAATAAAATCTTGGAAAAATCAATAATGAAATATACTTTTGAGACCATTTTAAATGATATTTATTATGAATTAACAAACATCTATTTGAATAGAGAAAAGATTGGGGAAATTGGTTTTTGGTTGAAAACCATTAAACAAAACACTTGTTCTTGCATACCTTTATATTCCATATGGTTTAAGTTAGGCACAGCTGTTGGAAATATAGTAACATTTACACATAGATTTGAGTGAAAATAAATGGATTGAACTTTTTAGATGCAAATTATATGCTACAAAGTTAAAATGAAAATTACAACCCCATGTATTTGTCCCTTGATGACTCTGAAGATATATGAATTTTTCCAGAGGCAACTTGCAACCACATAATACCTGTAATAAGGAACATGGGAGATCTAGAAATTACAAAGATTACAATCCTTCCACCTTTGGTGAAATTCCAAGAAGACACTAGTTAATTTTTTATCAAAATTCTTATAATGTATTTGTAGTATCAGAAAAAAAGCAGCTATTACATGGGACAAATTTTCTTCGAGGACAGTAATAGAATTATAACAGGAAAACATTATGCATTTGTTGACATTTTATTTTCCTTTTATTACAGGTAAAGGCAGACAATTAAAACTGCCCCAGTTGATAGACATGGCAGCACAGATAGCTAGTGGTATGGCCTATCTAGAATCTCAGAATTATATTCATAGAGATTTAGCAGCCAGAAATATATTAGTTAGTGAGGGTAATACTGTGAAAATTGCAGACTTTGGCTTAGCCAGAGTAATAAAGGTAAAATTGTTTATGTGTTGTCATCTGTGTTTTACAGGTTTTCACAAACAATGAATAATAAAGATAGAATTTTTACATTTTGACATGTAAATATTAGTAATACCACAGAGGGTGTTAGTTAAATAGTACACCATGATTTTATTGTTTATGCCAAACGATAACTTTAGAAGGGTCTTTCAGGAATAACACCTTATTTTAGGATAAATCATGATAAATCTAGGACATTTAATAACATCATGGGGTAAATTTATAAACATGATAAAAAGATATGGTATGATTGCCAATGACACAACTATCCAGAAAGACAACTATAGATGAAGTGTTTTGGTAAGGGTTTCAATATATGCATCCTAGCTAAAAATGACTAAATATTAGAAAACATCATTTCAGTAAAAGTGTTATGTAAAAAAAAGAAATATGGATCTGTTCTAACCTATTTCACAAACTACTAATACACAAGTTCAGCCATAGCTGGAAATTAAGTAGAAGACTGTACTGTTTTTCCTCTTGATCTAAAATAATACTAATTTGGAAAAGATATTTTCCTATTGGTCAATAATCTATTTGTTATTTTCTAGGATAGTTATTTACCCATTTAGCAGAGTGTCTGAGCATGTCTTTTTTTTTAGAGCAAATGAATGTGTTGAAAAACATACAAATTTTAATTATTTTTTCACAGGAAGATGAATATGAAGCCAGAGTTGGTGCTAGATTCCCCATAAAATGGACAGCCCCAGAGGCAGCTAATTATAATAGATTTACAATCAAATCTGATGTATGGTCATTTGGTATATTACTTACAGAAATAGTAACTTTTGGCAGAATACCATATCCAGGTAGGTCTCAGTACTTATACAAGTATAATATTTACTGCATCATGATTTCAATGTTTTATGCAATCTATAAAAAAATATTGGTACACTGTTATCTGACCAAATCTTTACAATGGCTAACATTGATTTGTTTTCATTTTTTGTGATAATCTAAACTTCTTGAATCAAGTCTGTATTGTAAGAGCATTATATTAATTGCACTGGTATCCCTTACAACTCAGACAGGACTTCGAAGTGCAACCGGAGGTGGTCCTCAGCTGGCCCCTAAATAAAATTGTTTACTAATTCAGTGAAAATGGACATCATACTAAACTCCAAAACATATAAATGAACTAAAATTAAAAAACATACAAGACGAACAAAGGCCAGAGGCTCCTGACTTGGGACAGGCGCAAAAATGTGGCAGGGTTAAACATGTTTTGTGAGATCTCAACCCTCCCCTATACCTCTGGCCAATGTAGAGTAAAGAAACACATAGCAATACGCACAGTAAAACTAGTGTAAAAGAAGTCATTTTCTCATTCATGATTGTGAAGGAAAAGGACATAAAAGAAGATGGTTTTGAAAAAAAAAGAATGCTATGGGAGAGATAGCAAAGAAGTCCACACATGAGGATCTGATGGGAAAAAGTTTTGAAGTCATCAAGGAAATGATTTACTAAAGGACCTTGTTGATAATTTTCAAAAGTTTTTCATAAAAATGTCTCATGTATCTGAAAAGGATTTTTTTCAAAGAAGCTTGCTCTACTGTAAAACATGAATTTCATTAGTGAGACTTACAGTGCTTCACAAATCTGGATTTTTACTATTTGATTTATTATGCCTAAAAACATAATTTTGAATTTTTTAGGTATGACAAATGCTGAAGTGCTTCATCAAGTAGAACATGGATATAGAATGCCAGCTCCGCCAAATTGTTCACAGACTCTGTATGAAATCATGCTGGAATGTTGGAGGAAAGAAGAAATGGAAAGGCCAACGTTTGAAACATTACAATGGAAATTAGAAGACTTCTTTAACCTTGATGGCAATGACTATAAAGAAGCATCTAGCATTCGATAATGTTTTACAATTAAACTCATTTACATATTCTGATTTCTCGGTTATGGAAATACATAGTCACTGGGACAAAGTGCTGGAAAACATACCAGGGCATAATCGAGATTTACAAGGCAGCCTTGAAGATGATGGTTTTATAACAGATAACAGAGAAAAAATGGATGCTATAACATCAATTTTATTATATTTTTTCCTCAATTATGTTGTATGTCAGTGTATGTTTATATTGCTGAATGTGATTTTAATTTTATCAGGCAATTGTACATTATATTGCGAAAATGACTTCTGACAAAAACTTTTCAGCTCAGATTGTTTTTATGTTTAACCAATTGTTTTACAGAGGGTAATATAATAACAGGCTTGGTCACAAATATTAATAGTAGAAAAAAGTTGTATATTAATAAGAAATCCATATCCAAGAACTTGAAATACAAATTTCATTTCAACATTAGACTGTATTCATTATATAATAAAGAGATAGATCTGTTAGATGTACTGCTAAGGGAGCTACCATTTGATTTTTAGGGGGGGGGGGGGGGGGGGGGCTAGAATGAAATTTGAAAAAAAAGGCAGGACAGGAGTTTTGAGTAAAAAAAAAGGCAGGATGACAATTTATATAAAAAAAGGCAGGATAAACTAATAAAAAAAAAGGCAGGACCGAATAGAGTGAAAAATAAAAAGGCAGGACAGAGATTACAACTAAAAAAAAATGCAGGACAATATTTTTCATCCTAGACCCCCCCCCATAAAAATCAAATGGATGGTAGCTCCCTAATTCAGAAATTTGTGCATGCATTTATTATTAGGATTGTTGAACAATGGACACAAATGGGATTTTGGGAAATGCTGCATACAATTAATGCTATCAAAAAAATTTTTTGTTGTTGCAAAACCTATCCGGTTGCAATAATAAAAACAGTGCAAAGATTTCTGAATTAACAGATTCCTGCTTCATTCAGAACTAAATTAGATATTAGGAGAATCATTGCTTATATACCTCCTCCATTATATCTAACTATCTATAGTCCAAGCATTGTCTCTCATCATTTCAAATACAAGTCATCACCTTTTTGCATGCAAATGAGTCATAATAATTTACAGATATTCTAGTTGACCTAACACCTACCTACATTTGATGAAACTGCCTTTTGAACTGATAAAATGTCCAGAATTTGTCTTCATTGTGTTTTTGGCTGGCTGCTGGTTACTGTTTAGGTATCATGTAGTTCTTTGTGAAACTGATGATATTTCAGTTATGTGGACATCACAATGTGAAGGGTTTAAAATTTACTATTTTATGACCTGAATTTCATGGTTGCTTAATCACAGGTATTGAAAAAGTTTTAGGATAATATAGTTTAGTATAGAGGACTATAATGTTAGCATAAAATTTTGCCAATGAAAACATCAAAATTTGAAAATATTTAATACCTTTCTCTTTTCAAGACGGTTTGGTTTTGGTTTTATTGGTCAATCATGAATAAAGGGTTACAGTCATATTTTAATTAATGCTACTTTTGTGTTTTTTATTTGCCATGACAAAGTATTGACTCGTGTTTATATGTAGGTTTTATGTAATATGGATTCAAACATGCAATAAACATTTTGTTTCAGTTAGTGCAGTTCAAATTCTTATGTATTGTGGAATGTTTACTATAAATTGGCCATTTATGCTGTATTGAAACATCTTGTTAACTGTATGTAGCTACAAGTGATTTCCATACAAATTTAAACCTGCAAACATATTTTTTCTTTATTGTTAACCAAATCATTTTCGGAATGTGTGAAATTTCTATGTTCCATTTGTAAAAGTTTTGCAGAAAAGTGTTGTTCTAGTGCTCAAGATGGTTTATTTTTTTTCAAACTGATAATTCAATTCCTAAAAGTGTTCCCCATGGGCCTTTTCTTGTCCTTTTTCTGTAATTTAACACTTTTTTAACACTTTTTGATCAAGAGCTGAATTACTGAACTTATACCTGTGAGATACATAATAAATGAATCCAAACTCAAGCCCCTTCTGTCTGTCTTTGTGTGATGTTTTGGGTTTTTTTTGGGGGGGGGGGGGGGGGGGAGGTAAAAATACAATACTAAGAAGTCTGAATTTAGTTGCTCCACACAGAATAAGTTACACAAATGTCATTAATAAAGTTTTGAATAATTCATCAAATAATCATTGATCTGTTTCATAATTGTATCATAGATAGTTAAGAGTAATACCAGGTTTGCATACATAAAAGAAGTTAAAGGTCCAAATATATAAAGAGAGTGCTACAAAATAAGGTTGTGAAGCTTTGTATTTTGTATTCAATTATTGGTTGTATTAATGTGTATTGCTGTTTTATCATTAGTTAATAATTGGACTAACATTTTATGGGTCTGTTTAAAAGGCTTGTTTTCTTAAAATTTTTATCAGATTTTTTATATCCGTAAATTTTATATCATTGTCAGATGGTTGTTTACTAATTTAGAACCATGGTCAGGTCAAATGAGGTTGATAACATACCGGGCATTTCACTTTATATTTTGATATTGATTTGAAATTTCTGTTTTTAAAGCATCATTCATATAACAAATGTTCATATTTTATGCTTGTGCAATTAATAAGGGAGAAGTGTAGTAACAATTCATTTCCTGTATGAAAACTAATGTATTGAAAATCAAGCATCCTTTCCACACCTTTACTTACTTTGAATGTTATATACATTACATAACATATCTTAAGTGTTTAATAGGCTGTGAAACAATTTTGAAAAAAAAATTCTTCATATGTCAATATGTAGCAAGTATATGTTGTTTGAAAAAGTTAGATGCTTAATATTCCATTAACAGTTTAACCAGCTCATTTGCTATTGGATGTTAATTCTGAATGTGTATGTTAATGATGCTCAGACAGTTGTTTTACTAATATATAATAGCATTTTTAGTAGTGACACTTATAAGTTTTAGACCAAAATGGATCCAAAATATGGATAACTTGCCAAATATTTATCATTTAAAAAATAATTTCAATATTTAGCTATAAATTATACATGGGTCTATTTCTTTTATTTAGTCTCATCAATTTATATGCAAACATGTTTTTGGTTGAATTTGTTTAGAATTGTCGATTTCGTAAAATTTAATGATGTTGTTAGTATATACCTACTTTAGGTCTGAACTCAATTCCTTTAGCCATTTAAACATCATAAATTATTTCAGAATCTCCTTTTTCTCATCTGATTGGTATTGCTATTATTTCTATGGCTTTTTAGCATAGAAAATGATAAATAAATAGATGGACTGTTTTCCAATACCCAGTGCGTAGTAAATGTTGTAATTGTGAAAAGTTCTAGTCAATCTATTGTTCATTTTGACATCTTCCCAGCTTTCTTTGTGAAAGCATAATCTTCTTAGAGAAGTTTATATATATGGTGGCCAGATGTAATTAATGATAAAATTTACTATACGTCTATGATTAAACAATTGTCTTTTTACAGGTCACATTACCATGTGAAGTATGATGCACAATGTACGTGAGCTATTATGTTGTTCAATACACAAATTTTTCAATACAAAATGTAATACATTGATTAGAATAATTATAAATGATCATGAATACTCATCTTTCATCTGAGCCATTCATAATAAAGAATAACAAAAATAGTTTTTTGTTTTGTATTACCACTATATTTATTAGACATTTGAAAGTACATAAAGAGAGGCGAAATATACCAAAGACATATTCAAACTCAAAAGTCGAAAACAAACTAACCATGCCTTGGCAACAGACAAAAAACAATGAAAAGACAAACTACAGTACACAAAACACAACATAGAAAACTAATGACTGAGCATCAAGAACCCCACCAAAAACAGGAGCTGATTTGGGTGCTTATGAAGGATAAGCAGATTCTGTTCCACCTGTTTTACTGACCATTGATTTTATGCTGGAAGTCTTAAAGATAAAGGTTTTACTACAAGTATCACATAAACTTAACATTTTTAAAGATCCATGGCAATGAGGTCAAGGTCAGATAAAAACTGTCACACAGACATGTACACCTTACAATTATTCCATACACCAAATATAGTTGACCCATTGCTTATGGTAATTGAAAAAACAGACCAAAACACATAAACTTAACGTTAACCAATGAACCATGAAAATGAGGTCAAGGTCAGATGATACTGACTAGACATATACATACACCTTACAATCATTCCATACACCAATTATAGTTGACCTATTGCTATTAGTATTTGAAAAACAGACCAAAACACAAAAACTTAATACTGTGGGACAGTTTTTATCTGACCTTGACCTCATTGTCATGGATCTTTAAAAATGTTTAAGCTTATGTGATACTTGTAATAAAACCTTTATCTTTAAGACTTCCAGCATAAAATCAATGGTCAGTAAAACAGGCGAGACATTTCAGCGTGTGCACTCTTGTTATAACTAATCATGGAAATTGAATATTAAAATGAACAAGCATTCTGAGAGTATTGCATGGCAATACATAGTCCCCTACCGGTTAAAAATTCATTGTATTAGAACAAAATGCTAACTTGATCTATAACTTGTCATGGTGTAAACTATATAACAAATATCAAGTCAATATCTTCAAGCATGACGAAAAAAAGTGTTGAAAACTCATTTTTTAAGTGAATTTTCTAAATCAAAGGACCATAACTCTGCACAAAATCATCAGACCGGAACAAAATTCGAACTTGATCTGTAACTTGTCATGATAAAACTATATACCAATTATCAAAACAATATCTTTAAGCGTGACGAAAAAATGTGCGGGAAACTGATTATTTGAGTGAATGTTCTAAGTCCGTAACTCTGCACAAAATCATCAGACCGGAACAAAATTTGAACTTGATCTGTATCTTGTCATGATAAAACAATACACCTAATATCAAATCAATATCTTCAAGCACGAAGAAAAAAAGTGTGGAAAACTGATTTGCCGGACTGACGGATGGACAGACAGACAGACAGACAGAGTGCAAACCTAAAGTCCCCTTCGACTTCGTCGTTAGAGGACTAATAAATATCAAATTGGTCCAAATTGAGGTCCAAAGGGACCAATATTAACATTTTTTTATTTAAAAATTAAATTCTTGGGGTTCTATGACATACTGAATCTTATCCAACAGATAAACAACTGCATCTATCCACATACTTTTTTCAACACATTTGATCTCAAAGTGTATCAAGTTTACTCAAGCAATCCCTGTGAGCAATTCCATTTCACCCATCTGTTACATTTGTGTCATCTGTAAGTTTAACTAGCTTCACAGGATACATTAATTTCCTTCAGAGCATTGTACATGAGGCTTGTAAAGTTGAACTTATATTGTGACCTTGACATTGCATATTCGCAGATAGATTCTTAAAAAGCTGTAATATGGGCAAATATTTCTTAGCCCTTAATTGTGTCACTTTATCCAAAATTTATTTACTGTCATTTATAATAAAGACATTAGAAGTAAAACAAATAAGAGAAACAATAATACATTTTAATAACATAAGGTTTCAGTTATATTACATTACAACTGATGACGATTCTGATACACTAACATGATAAAATGTTTTCTAATTAATCAAGTTTTTATTTTCACACTTCTCTTTATACCAGCTCTGATGCCAGACACTTCACCACCATAACGATTCATTTCTGTACGAGCCTCTCGGACCTGAAATTAAAAAGATTAAAATATAATGAAAGTTCTATAACCAGTATACATTTGAAGAATTAATTTTCTTTTATAAAGAATTTTCTTATATATAGTTTCAATGTATGCAAATTCTCCTCTCTTTTTGTATGTCTGTTATGCAATTATGTGAAGATAATTAAACAGATGATTATTTTCTTATTAGTAAAACATGTATATATTTAATGTAATGGAAAACCGTAAAAAATGTTGAGGTCTTTGAGAGAACCAAGTACATTATAAGCAAATTGTCATGGAAATGACTCCGTCAAACATATAATTTTGTAAACAATTGAAGACACACTGTTAATTTCATGCATCATTTAAGTGAAAGTGTATATATATTCTGTCCATTGAAATAATTTTAGCTTTAATATCTAAGAATACCCAGACATATCAATGAAGAGGAATGGGTCGATATTCTGTTTAAACATTGTTGTATTTGAAAAGCAAATCTTTAGGTATCAAATTTTTTTTTCTTTTGTCATGAAATAGAAGTTCCTTCATTATATTAGTATCAAATTGAAGAAATATTCTGGAATATTATTTCCACTGGAACAAATATTACAGTATTTGTACTAAGGGATTATATGATACAGATACAGAATATCCAACCCGAACAGAATATAAGACATTGTTTATAGGAAAGTTTCCAGTGGAACTTCTGTTAGGCGGAAAAAATATACGTTGACACTTGTCATTTTTCTTTTGATAGTGTCAAATTACCTGTCCCTTTCTCCTAATCTTGGCCTTTCTAAACTTGTTCCTTAGTTTAACTCTTGGGTTTCTATCTTCCTTTTTCTTCTTTATCTGTATATTCTTATTTTTCTCAATCTGCAAATGAAAATCAAACATAGTTAAAGCTTACATGAGTATTTCAAAACTACTGTAACTGCCGCGGTAAAGTAATTAGAAAATGAAATATTTTATTCTCATGATATCTCCTGAGCATTTATCAGTGATCAACAAGTTATTTGTGTACCTTCTTTATCAATTAAATTGTAATTTTATGTTTTTCATAAGTAACAATTTAATTTGGTAATAAGAAGATGTCATTATCATATCTGATTTTTTTAAACAACCCCCTTCCAACCCAAAAATTGGAAGCGAAGCCTTTAATACATGCATTAAATTCATATAAAGTCATTCATCTTTTAAGCAGTCATAAAAGAGGAAAACCATAATTGATTCTTAAAAATAATTCTCACTTCTAATAATGTATATTTGAAATGGCTTTTTAGTTGTTCAATTTTGACAATGTTTGCAGTTTTTCTAGAATCTTACAATGGACTATTTCAAATGCATCAACACAGAGTAAATATTACCAGTACCTTGTGTAAAAACCCCCCTAACTAGTTATGCTTTTTTACATTGTTTTCAATGTATAAAATAATCTATTTGACAAATTCAATCAATTATGGAAAAAAAGGATATGTTGTATCAATGCATAACACAATGTCAATACACAAACACATGAAAAATAAATGTGGATAGTGTCCACATGTGGACACAGATGATGCCCCCCCTTGCATATCATATAGTTATAAAGGGACATAACTGAAGAACAGTAAAAGCGACACTACCCAAATTTGAACTTGATCTGAGTTTTGTGGTAATAAGCATTGTGTGTATGTCTCATAATATTTGGTTGAGGCTAACTTAAGTAGAGAACAGAAACTAAAAATTCAGCAATTTTTCTATTTGTAAACACCCATAACTCTAGAACGGTTGTGTATAAGTTTTATAACATTTGGTTGAGACAAACTTGTTAGAGAACGGAAACGAAAAATTCAGCAATTTTTATGTTTATAAAGGGACGTAACTCAAGAATGGTAAAAGTGTCGCCACCAAATTTCGTACTTAATCTGTATTATGTAGTAATAAGCATTGTGTATAAGTTTCATAACATTTGGTTGAGGCAAACGAAATTAAGTTAGAAAACGGAAACAAAAAATTTGTACTTGATCTTAGTTTGGTGGTAATGAATATTGTGTATAGGTTTCATAATGTTTGGTTGGGGCAAACTTAAGTTACAGAATGGAAACTAAAAATTTTGCAATCTTTCGATTTATAAAGGGGCATAACTCAATAATGGTCAAAGTGACAATACCCAAATTCAACTTGATCCGTGTTTTATCAGTGGAAGTCAAAATTAAACATTGCATTGTATAAAGCATTGATTGTAGTTGATTCAACTATAATCATGGACAAAGGAAGATAACTCCAATTTTAAAATTTACTTGATCTTTAGAAGAAAATAAAAATTTTGCAATTTTTCCATTTATAAAAGGGCATAACTCTAGAACTGTTAAAGTGACGCCACCGAAATTCAAACTTGATCTGTGTTTTGTTTTAATAAGCATTGTGTACAAGTTTCATAACATTTGGTTGAGGCAAACTTAAGTTAAAGAACAGAAACTAAAAATTTTGCAATTTTTCCATTTATAAAGGGGCATAACTCTAGAACGGTTAAAGTCCATCAAAATTCAAACTTGATCTGTGTTTTGTGGTAATAAGCATTGTGTATAAGTTTCATAACATTTGGTTGAGGCAAACTCATGTAAGAGAACGGAAACCAATTTTGGTACATACGTACGTACAGACGGACAAGGGTAAAACTTAATGCCCCCACCGCAACAGCGGGGGCATAAAAACAAAAGCAAAGTAGCAGGGCTTTAATTGCTGTTCTTCATCTCATTGTCAAAATTAGGTCTTCTACAAGCATGACAAGGTTTTGGGTCACATGCCAAATAAAATTGTAAAGAAATAAAAATAAGTAGTTCTATTTCATGAGATTTCATCTAAAAACCAAGTTTCTGGTAAAATTGCAATCTTTATTTAGCTGTCATGTGTTATAATACTTGGTATATAGAAACTCCTTTTTTGGCTCCCTCTAAAAAAAAATTGGGATTGGGTTCCCCTCATCTCCTCATCCTTGCTAATCCTCCTGGTCTGGGAGGCACAACATTTTGTTTAAAACATCTGTAAGCTAAATCAAAACTAGCGGCAAAGTTAACATGATGATACTCCGCTCCTTGCAAAATCCATAATTTGCAAAGGGAAACCCCAAAAATAATTCTGACCAAAAAACAAAATAAGAGGTTCACAATGGAATTATAGGGGATTAGGAAAAGCAGGTACAAATGTGTACTACAACATTTGTACTATAATGTACACATATGACAAAGTCCATGTACACATCATCTCAAAGTTAACCCCCAAAATCATACAGATGAAGAAATGAAATAGGAGGTGCAAAAGTACACCATGTGAGCAAGATTCTGTAAAAGTTTACAGGTTTTTATACGACCGCAAAAAAATTTTTGTGGTCGTATATTAGCATGACGTTGGCGTCGTCGTCGTCGTCCGGCGTCGTCGTCGTCGTTGTCAGCCGGCGTCGTCCGGAGACACATTGGTTTTCGCACTCTAACTTTAGTTTAAGTGAATGGATCTTTATGAAATTTTACCACAAGGTTCAATACCACAAAAGGAAGGTTGGGATTGATTTTGGGGGTTATGGTAATAACAGTATAGGAATTAGGGGCCAAAAAGGGGCCAAAAATAAGCATTTTTGTAACTTCCAGACATAACTTGTGTGTTAGTGTATGGATCTCTCTGACATTGTACCACAAGGTTCCATATCACTAAAGGAATGCTGGGATTGATTTTGGGGGTAATTGCCTCCAAATTTTAGGAATTAGGGGCCAAAAAAGGGGCAAAAAACAAGCATTTTTCTAGTTTCATGACAATAACTTGTGTGTAAGTGTATGGATCTTTCTGAAATTGTACTACAAGGTTCCATATCACAAAGGGAAAGCTGGGTTTGAGTTTGGGGGTAATTGCCCTAAATGTTTAGGAATTTGGGGCCAAAAAGGGGCCAAAAAACACATTTTTTTCTAGTTTCCAGACAATAACTTGTGTTCAAGTGTATGGATCTCTCTGAAATTGTACTGCAAGGTACCATACCACAAAGGGAAGGCTGGGATTGAGTTTGGGGGGTGATGAATCATAATGGGGGTTCAAAAAATTTTGGGGGGGGATTTATTTTTTTTTCCTTTTTTTTCTTTTTTTCCTTTTTTGTTTCTTTTAAAATTTTCCATTTTAAGTTGGTTATTTCTGATTTATATTTAAAATCAAATAATAATGATATGGTAGGAGATACACACCAAACAGGATGTGTAAATTATTATATAATAAGTATTGTGCAATAGCAAGAAATTTTCAATTGCACAGTATTGCACAATAGCAAGAAATCTTCAATTGCACAGTATTGCGCAATAGCAAGAAATCTTCAATTGCACAGTATTGCGCAATAGCAAGAAATATCCAATAGCACAATATTGCGCAATAGCAAGAAATTGTCAATTGTACAGTATTGCGCAATAGCAAGAAATATTTAATAGCACAGGATTGTGCAAAAGAAGATACTTCCTATAAATTGCTTATTTCTTGACCAATTTCAATGGGGTTTTATTCTTGATTTCATGGGGTTCTTTAATATGCTGAATCTAACCGTGTATTTAGTTTTTGGATTTTGGGCCCCGTTTTTAAATTGGTCCACATTGAGGTCCAAAGGGTCCAAAATTAAACTTTTGTTTGATTTCATCAAAAATTGAATTATTGGGGTTCTTTGATATGCCGAATCTAACTGTGTATTTAGATTCTTAAATTTTGGTTCCGTTTTCAAATTGGTCTACATTAAGGTCCAAAGGGTCCAAAATTAAACTTAGTTTGATTTTAACAAAAATTGAATTCTTAGGGTTCTTTGATATGCTGAATCTAAACATGTATTTAGATTTTTGATTATGGGCCCAGTTTTCAAGTTGGTCCAAATCGGGGGTCCAAAATTAAACTTTGTTTGATTTCAACAAAAATTGAATATATGGGGTTCTTTGATATGCTGAATCTAACCATGTATTTAGATTTTTGATTTTTGGGCCCTGTTATCAACTTTGTCCACATTGAGGTCAAAAGGGTCCAAAATTAAACTTTGTTTGATTTCATCAAAAATTGAATTATTGGGGTTCTTTGATATGCCGAATCTAACCGTGTATTTAGATTCTTAATTTTTGGTTCCGTTTTCAAATTGGTCTACATTAAGGTCCAAAGGGTCCAAAATTAAACTTAGTTTGATTTTAACAAAAATTGAATTCTTAGGGTTCTTTGATATGCTGAATCTAAACATGTATTTAGATTTTTGATTATGGGCCCAGTTTTCAAGTTGGTCCAAATCGGGGTCCAAAATTAAACTTTGTTTGATTTCAACAAAAATTGAATATATGGGGTTCTTTGATATGCTGAATCTAACCATGTATTTAGATTTTTGATTTTTGGGCCCCGTTATCAACTTTGTCCACATTGAGGTCAAAAGGGTCCAAAATTAAACTTTGTTTGATTTCTTCAAAAATTGAATTCTTGGGGTTCTTTGATATGCTGAATCTAACCATGTATTTAGATTTTGGATATTGGACCATAATAGGTGAATGTCCAATTTAAAATTTTTAAGTTCTTAGACCACATTCAATCTGTGTTAGAAACCTATGCTGTGTCAAATATTTAATCACAATCCAAATCCAAAGCTGTATCAAGCTTGAATGTTGTGTCCATACTTCCCCCAACTGTTCAGGGTTCGACCTCTGCGGTCGTATCAAGCTGCGCCCTGCGGAGCATTTTATTATTTCAAGCTGTTCAGGAACTGAAGCAGAAACAAATGTGAGACAGAAGGACAAACAAACATGCATATGAACAGATGGGCATCATCACTATATGTAGCCCACCTCAGAAAGCAAGGAGGATAAACAACTCAGGGCAAAGACATTTTTCAAAATAATCATTGTTTTACCTGCATTTGTATACGGTAAATTCAGAAATTATTGTGAGTTTTTATTAATGGGAATAATGCTTCTTGGTGATTATCACAAAAATAATAACTCGCATTCTGATATCTGATAGGTATATCTATATGTACAGTAGATTTTCCTGAAATCACACTAATTTTCACATTTTATCTATTCTTCAATAAAATGCTTCGCTGGGGCGCAGCTTGATACGACCGCAGAGGTCGAACCCTGAACAGTTGGGGCAAGTATGGACACAACATTCAAGCTTGATACAGCTCTGAATTTGGATTGTTATTAAATATTTGACACAGCATAGGTTTCTGACACAGAAAGAATGTGGTCTAAGAACTTGAATTTTTTTAATTTACCTATTATGGTCCAATGTCCAAAATCAAAATACATGGTTAGATTCAGCATATCAAAGAACCCCATATATTCAATTTTTGTTAAAATCAAACAAAGTTTAATTTTGGACCCCAACTTGGACAAACTTGAAAACTGGGCCCATAATCAAAAATCTAAACACATGTTTAGATTCAGCATATCAAAGAACCCCAAGAATTCAATTTTTGCTAAAATCAAACTAAGTTTAATTTTGGACCCTTTGGACCTTAATGTAGACCAATTTAAAAAAACGGGACTTAAAATTAAAAATCTAAATACACAGTTAGATTTGGAATATCAAAGAACCCCAATAATTCAATTTTTGATGAAATCAAACAAAGTTTCATTTTGGACCCTTTTGACCTCAATATGAACCAATTTGATAGCAGGGCCCACAAATAAAAAATCTAAATTCATGGTTAGATTCAGCATATCAAAGAACCCCATATATTCAATTTTTGTTGAAATCAAAAAAAGTTTAATTTTGGACCCCAACTTGGACCAACTTGAAAACTGGGCCCATAATCAAAAATCTAAACACATGTTTAGATTCAGCATATCAAAGAACCCCAAGAATTCAATTTTTGTTAAAATCAAACTAAGTTTAATTTTGGACCCTTTGGACCTCAATGAAGACCAATTTAAAAAACTGGACCCAAATTAAAAATCTAAAAACACGGTTAGATTTGGCATATCAAAGAACCCCAATAATTCAATTTTCGATGAAATCAAACAAAGTTTAATTTTGGACCCTTTTGACCTCAATATGAACCAATTTGATAGCAGGGCCTACAAATAAAAAATCTAAATACATGGTTAGATTCAGCATATCAAAGAACCTCATATATTCAATTTTTGTTGAAATCAAACAAAGTTTAATTTTGGACCCCAATTTGGACCAACTTGAAAACTGGGCCCATAATCAAAAATCTAAATACATGTTTAGATTCAGCATATCAAAGAACCCCATATATTCAATTTTTGTTGAAATCAAACAAAGTTTAAATACTGACCCTATCTTGGACCAACTTGAAAACTGGGCCCATAATCAAAAATCTAAACACATGTTTAGATTCAGCAAATCAAAGAACCCCAAGAATTCAATTTTTGTTAAAATCAAACTAAGTTTAATTTTGGACCCTTTGGACCTCAATGTAGACCAATTTAAAAAACAGGACCCAAAATTAAAAACCTAAATACACGGTTAGATTTGGAATATCAAAGAACCCCAATAATTCAATTTAAGATGAAATCAAACAAAGTTTAATTTTGGACCCTTTTGACCTCAATATGAACCAATTAGATAACGGGGTCCACAAATAAAAAATCTAAATACATGGTTAGATTCAGCATATCAAAGAACCCCATATATTCAATTTTTGTTGAAATCAAACAAAGTTTAATTTTGGACCCCAATTTGGACCAACTTGAAAACTGGGCCAAAAATCAAAAATCTAAATACATGTTTAGATTCAGCATATCAAAGAACCTCATATATTCAATTTTTGCTAAAATCAAACAAAGTTTAATTTTGGACCCTTTGGACATTAATGTAGACCAATTTGAAAACTGGACCCAAAATTAAAAATCTAAATACACTGTTAGATTCGGCATAACAAATAAATAAATGTGATCAAAGATTTTACAAATCTAATGCGCCATACTGTGCAATTAAAGATTACTTCTTGAAATTTTTCAATATTTGAAATTTGAAAAAAAAAAAATATTTGAAGAATAATTCTTTTTAATTTCTGAAATCTGAAATGAGAAAAAATTGGCCCCCCACAATTTCTTTTTATCCCCCCCCCCTTTTTCCCCCAAAAAAATTCTTTCCCTCAAGATATGGTCATAATCTCAATTCAAATTTCCAATGGAGTTGGCAACCATAATTACCCATTTAAATTTACCATAGTGCTAACTTAATCTATTTTATAATAGAATTAATAAAAATATAGTGTCAAATCTTTCATATGGATTTTTTTGTAAAAAAAAAAGATGAAAACATTTGCAGATATTTTTACTGGTCTTCCTTTATAAATATGCATTTCTTTAAACATAATTTAAAAGCAGTGTAAGGGAAGTAACCAAAACGTTGTATTTGGATTACCTCCCTTACACTGTTTTAGATTATCTTTATTGTTCATTAACCATTACTTTATACATAATTTAAAAGCAGTGTAAGGGAGATAATTTCAATGATGTATTTGATTTATCTCCCTTACACTGCTTTAAATTATGTTTTGTACTAAAGTATTTGTCCATTAACCAGGACAACCTTGTTTTTCCCCCTTTTTTGCCCCTAATTCCTAAACGGTTTGAGCCATAACCCCCCAAAGCAAATCCTAACCATCCCTTTGTGGTATGGAAACTTGTAGTATAATTTCAGAGAGATCCATACACCGTTCCACAGTTATTGTCTGGAAACTAGAAAATGCTCATTTTTGGCCCCTTTTTGGCCCCTAATTCCTTAACTGTTGGTACCATAACCCCCAAAATCAATCCCAACCTTCCTTTTGTGGTATTTAACCTTATGGTCAAATTTCAAAAAGATCCATTCACTTAAACTAAAGTTAGAGTGCGAAAACCAATATGTATTCGGACGACGACGCCGGACGACGCCGGACGACGACGACGACGACGACGACGCCAACGTCATACCAATATACGACCACAAAATTTTTTTGCGGTCGTATAAAAACCTCAATAATAAATGCATGCAATAATTTCTGAATTTACAGTATATAGAAATTGATTTGCAAGTAATACCAAGTTTGTAACCCTGTCATAGATGTATCATTACACACCTGATATGTAACTTTTCTTTTACCCTCAAATTCATCATCATCCCCAACATTTTCATCATTATTCATGTCTTCCATACCATTCATTGTTCCCTCATCCAGTTCCTCATCATCACTGCAAACATATTTTAAAATATTGATTATTGATATTTAAATTGTAGAATCCAAGGCGACCTCAATTTGCCAACCTGATTTGTATAGCAACTGACAATTGCTATCACATGACATTGCAGCAGCAATTTTGTTAATTTCCTTAGAGGTGATGTATAATGTAATCACATGTGAGTGAAGGTCAGGAAATCTTTAAGATCGAAGGCCATGATGATCCATGAATTGCCCTCATGTGCTATGATTGGTTAACAAGCTGATAAATTAATCCACAGAAGCATTGTCTATCATAGAGAGATATCAAATCACTAGCAATAAAACAATAGAACTTGAGAGATATTGCTTTAAATCTATTTTTTGTGCTACTCTGCAGAAACAGGTTATAATATTACAGTACAAAATTTACTTCCAATGTTTAAAATATTTTGAGTGTCTGTAATTTTGGCAATATGCTGTAAAATTCTTTCATTGTTGCACTCAAAAGACTTACCAAGTATCTAAGATTCTGCTTTATGCCAAAATTATATTTATCTGGACAAAAAAAATCAATGATAGAATAACAAACCTTTGACCTTTTCCCCTTGATTTCATCATATTGTAATACTCTAAAGCATCTTTCTCATCTTTCGTTTCATATCTTTTGTCTGTTGAATTCTTCTTCTACAATTATAAGCAAGAAAAGTAATTTTAAAAATCATTCAAATCTATTTATATTCTCAAATTTTTCTAAATCATAAAATTTTCTAGTCATGTATTACATGCACACTGTGATTCTGTTTTTATTTCCTTCCACAACCAAGTTGTACATGATATCAATTCTACTTTTTTACTTCATATTCCATAATTAATCATTGTGTTACAATTAACCACAAAGCATCTACAAAGTAAAGAGGAGTGATAGTTTGAAACTGTTGGATAGTTGTCTCATTTGCAATCATACCACATCTACTAATTTCACTGATTTTTGTCCATGGATACATCTTTTAAATTTCTTAACAATGGTCCAACAAAAATTAGGCAACCTTGACCTACATATTATGCATGAACAATTTAGTTAAGGCTTTTTGGTAATGTCAAGCTCAAAGAAAGTGGGCAACAGAGAAGCAGGATGTTCTGGTAATAACACAATCTATGCATGAATGATTCTAGATTACATATCTGTTTATATTCTAAACTAAATTGGATACAAATCAAAAACAGGAGAGAAAATAGATGCTTCTGTGACTGATTAGTTGTGGAAAAAGTCATCAGACACTTGTTAAGTTCCATTCTATTTTCAACTTTTCCTTCATTTCTTATCTTTTAATATCAAATGATAGATAAAAAGTAAATATTTGATTACCAAGAATGATAATACATTCTGCTTAATTATGGCACCCTCAACAGAGTTGGGGTGACATATTGTTATTCTACGTTTCTTTCTTATTTTTATTCTTCCACACTCTTTGTCCAGGCTATTTCTTGGAATTGAATGGACCAATGTTGATGGAACTATACCATAATGTGGACCACTATGTGAAGTTGTGCAAGACACATTGGAATAACTCAAAATGGCCACCATTACCATGGAAACAGAACAAATGTGAAAAAAAAAAATTGTTTTTGGTGCATTATGTGAGTAGGCATGAACTTAAAATCATCAAATTTTTACACATTGTTGGTGTCCACTATATACAGGTTTAAGATGATTTTGAGAATCTTTGGAACTACCATATTGCCATAGCAACTGGATATGTTTAGCATTAAACCCTATGGGAAAACCGTAAAGTAGCATTTACTCGCTAAACAAGGTTTGTGATTCCCAGTGAACTTTAATAGTAATGTTCCTGTTAAGTGCCAATGTTGCAGGTGTCATTGGAATTTTGGAAATGGTCACCGTTAACATGGAAACAGCAAAATTGTCAAAAATTTTCAAAATTCTCCAAACTTAATAAAACTTAACACAAATGTTAACTGGCAAGTAAAGATGATACTTTTGGCTTTGAAATTTTAAAAATGGCTGCCATTGTCATGGAAACGGCAAAAAACTGAAAAATTAAAAAATGCTCCAAACTTCGGGAAAATATACAGATAGATGTGTTGTGATGTTTTTATGTTTTTTGACTGTTTGAAATTTTCAAAATGGCTGCAGTTTAGTGGCAATGTGGGAAGGGTGCCATCCACTATTGCTTGCAATGGCAAATCTAGTTCTTATTATTTTTCTTCCACTTTTTTTGTTCTCGGCAGTTCTCAGAATTGTATGGACCAATGTTGATGGAACTATGCTATACTATTGACCACCATGTGAAGTTGATCCTCTGACTATGGAATGGTTCAAAATGGAATGGAAACAGCAAAAATGTCCAAAATTTAAAAATGCTCCAAAATTCATGAAACTTTATAACAATGTTAATTGGTATGTGTAGATGCTGTTCGACTTAGGAATTTTCGAAATGGCTGCCGTTACCCTGGCAATGGGGGGAATAGGGTGCCATCCGTTATTGCTAGCAATTACAAATCTAGTTTACCTTCTTATTTGATTGTAGAGCAGATTCATCATCTTCCTCCGATTCAGAGATCAATTCACTTAATTTCTTTTGCTCTATCCTATCTCTGCTTTGTTTTGATAGCTTCCTCCTGTTAAAGACACAATGTCATAATCAGCAACCTACTTTTAGAATGTCCTTTATGTGCTTATAGGTCAGAAAGGAAAGTAACAGATATTTTTTAGAACTTCTATGTTATAAATATATTGGTATTATGAGACAGGTGTTATCAGTAAGAGGATAAATTCATTATTTGAAGCATAGGTGATTGTTGGTGATAAGACAACATTTTTGACATGTTAAAGTGTGTGCATTATAGGATTAAACGCCTTTTTAAAGGCATTTATTCGTGTATAAACTGGACCAATTTACTCACAAAATGATATGTTTGTGAGTTACTTAGTCCAGTTTATGCAACAATTAATTCCTTTAAAAATGTGTTTACCGGTAATCCTTATAGTTCTTTGAAATTAAAGAAAACGAATTTAATTTCCCCACTCATAACCTCTATCACACGTAAATTGTATATTTGTGTCATTGAATTGGCCTAGTGCATGAATATATTTTTTGGTTAACACAAAAAATGTACTCCATGAAATTTGTACCTGGTAATCTGAGGTGAAAATAAATTAATCAATCAAATGAATATTTTGTGTTTATTATCTAATTTAACGATGAAGGCAAAGTGAAAATAAATATTTTAATGTTGAGCTGGTTTGTGTTATTATCGCCGCCATTTGTTTATATTGGTTACAAAAAAGAGTTCCGTCAACATCGTCTATCAAAAAATAAATAACTTCAAAAGCCACTACCGGAAGTCTTCTGAAACCAATCAGATAAACGTATTCCCTAATATGCAAATCATATAAGAATTATTGACATGTTATAGAATATGTTGACTCTTATCGTCTTTTTTTTACTTAAATCAATTTTTTAAACAACTGATGTTGTTGGGTTGCTGTCTCATTGACATATACCCCACACCTTTTATTCATAAAATACTTTTTCTGTAACTCCCAAAAACTGCATGTACCATATGAATAAATTATGCAAATGCAAGTAAATCTGGAGAATAAAGGTTATAACATCTAATGAATACTATTTTGACCTATTCTACAGTATTAATAAATAAGGACATGTATTTTAAGTCACCATGTCATACAAGATGTACATTTAATACAAAATAATATCTTTAGATATATACCTTCAACAGGCACATGAATTCATCTTCATAAAAGTTTGTTTTCCTTAGGAAAACCCCAAAAACAATTCTTATCAAAAATGCACAATGGCATTATATGGTTAAGATTTTAAGAAAGTTTTAATGAATTGTATACTGGGTTTCACAATTTTTTAGCTAAAACCACTAAAATTAGGTTTGATAAAAAACAAAATATGTGCACAATAGCATTATATACTGAAATATATACAAAGTTTCATTTAATTCTGAACAGGTGTTTTGGAGGAGATGCAAATAGATAGGTGTATTTTAGTAGTGGCTATGTCAAAGTCAATGTTATGCCAATGTAAACCCAAAAATCATTTGGATGAAGAAATGAAATAGGAGATGCAAAAGTACATCATGTGAGCAAGATTTTGTGAAAGTTTCCATTTGTGGTTTTGATGAGTGAAAACCTCCATCCTGTGAAGATGATCGGACAAAAAATGAAGGTGTTATCCTGGTGACAACAAAACGCTGATGGACAGACTGACAGGTGAAAAACACCATACACTAAAAAGCAACACTTTTGCATGGAGTATACATAACAGTATTGTACCTAATGAAAGTCTTCTGTGAAGATGCAGGTTCTGCAAAGTGAATTTCCTCTCCTTTGTTTAACTTTTCTAAAATGTCCTCAATCTCTGGTCTGACCTTGTCATCAACTGGTTCCAACTGCTTCATTAACTATAAACAAAATATATATAGCTCTAGGTGAAAACATAGAAATTATGTACTGGTTCATGCTTTGTAATAACAAAATTCTAATGATACCTCTAGGATAATCTCAGATTTTGTCAAATCTTTCAATGCAGGCATTTTCCAAATAAATCTATTTAGCCGGTATTTGTAATACATATATTATCTTACCTCCTATACATTTCTAGGAATTTCATTGGTTAAAAGCAAACACGTGGAGACCCTGTATATTTAATATTGGGTTAGTATTTTAATACTAGGTTAGTAGCAGTGTTACATCCCTTTATAAAAACAACATGACGTTGAAGAAAAATCTGAAACGTATTGCCCAGACAACAAATGAAGAAATTGATAATAAACGATTGAAAATTAATGCAGAAAACACATTAAAGGCTAACAAACTGTTATTTTTGGCAATTGTTTTTGTCTAGACCAATGAAAGTTGGTTGTTAATATTGAAGACTTGATCACTTTAATAGGTATCTAGTCTGAATTCCACATGTTAAGATAGTCAGTAAGATAAATTCGTTACACAGTGTGCTAGTGGGCTAATACGATATATACAGGGTCAGCTTCGCTCTCACACCATATAAAATTTACTGACCCCATATATATCGTATTAGGCCACTAGCACACTGTGTAACTAATAATTTCATGCCAGTCCTGTTGAGTCTTATTCAACTTATCACTCTCTCTGGACTGGTACTTTTCAAGATTTTAGTGGAGATATTTGAATGTTCGGTACTGGTATCTTCTGAAAACTTACATTCCTGTGTTGTACTAGTCTTTTAATGACTGGATGATTCTGCACAGGTACTTGCGTTGATTTTAACATCATATAGAAGCTTATGTTTGTACAATAACTAAAAAAAAACATTATAGGTATGTTATTTTAAAGTAAAATGTTATATCAGGTTATGCTTAAATTTAGGTATAATCCCTACAGTTGAAAAGGTCATACCACCTCTTTTTCTGAAGTCATAAACTCAAATAATCATAATTACTATAATCACAAGAAAATACTTTAGGTACTGCTAGCAAAACAAACAAAATCATTCCCTCCAGCCCAACACCCTTGCCCATCCCTTGTATTCATCTTGATATATGGATGTTTACCTTGCAAACAAACATTCCAACTTTATTCGCTACACAACCTCTGGTGGCAGCCAATAATAATACCAAGTATCATTATACTTCAAGGCATTCAAATTTTTTTAGCTGGACAAGATGTTGTATATTTGAATATGGAGATATTTATTTGAACTAAATTTGTGACCTTGACCTTGCACAGACATTCCAACCCAATAGTTCTGAGCTGTAACCAGCTAGCACAATCACACTGATTTCTATCTTAAAAAGACAGATATAGCAGCAAATTTTTTTATGACTTTTTTATGTTCAATTCACCATGATTTCAATGATCCAAACTAATGGTTGATAAATTAGTATCAGGCAAGATTGTTTTAATTTTTGACAACTTACTTGAGTAACAGTTTAAACTTTGTTTCCACATATTCCGCAGCTTTGCCTTGTATTTTTCCTTCCTTAACTAGGGTCAAAAGGGGATGATAAATGTCTTTAACCTCTGTCATCTACAACAAATCTTCACTCATTTCAAACTTTTACACAGAAATCAAAGAAACAAATCTTAAAAACATTTGATGAAATATAACTGGTATATCTGAATGCACAACTCAATCTCATCCTCAATTTCATGTATTTTATCAATGCGTTTAACACTATTATTCAACATATCTGTTCAAAATTATGAATCTATGAACTAGAATTCATATCAATTTGTTAAATGATAAAAAAAGGTTGGGATGATTCAGAATTGAAGTTATGAATCATTTTTCATTAAAAAAAATTACTATAATAATCATTATCAAAGCTGTTTCCGATCAATTAATGATGTTCAATAGAAATTAGAAAATTCAGCATTTTCTAATACCAACTCAGATAAAAGAAATATCTATTTCATTGTTTAACTAGAGGATAGTAATGGTAGTCATCACAGAGGGCCCTGCCATATGTTAATAAGTAAATTGTGATGAAATTTTATAAGTAATCAGGGTTATTCCATTTAAACACAGCTTATACCCAGGGAAGGCAAACTTTTTGCTAATGCACTACTAAAATCATTGATATTCAACTTTTATATAGAATTATGTTACAAAATTTAACATTGAAATATCTAGGCAGAAAAGTCATTTCCTTGTTCCTACATTGAGGTAAACTATGTTTAAATAGATTAGCCCTAAAAAATATTTACATCCTCTAGTGCATAACCAAGACAATTTGAGACATTTCTCACCAATCAGCAGCACTGTAATGAAAATTAGTCAAACCTGCTATATGGGTCACCTTTATTAAACCAAATACTCTCTTGTCACCCTCTTCTTGTCTTGCTGTAGTAATATATGTGCATTTTGAACAATCTGATTAAAACACAGATCCTGTGTCCAAGCTTTGCTTAACAAGGATCTGAAAACACTCTTGTTTTACTTTCTGTTTTAATGAATTTTTGGGATCCTCTGGCTTTGTCGGATTAATGCACACCTTCAAAAATTTGAAGACTGAAATTTCATTGGCTATGTAATAATTACCAGAACAAAAAGTAAAACAAAGTGTTGTCAGATCCTTGTAAACAAAGCTTTGACACTGTATCTGCATTTTATCAGATTGCATTTTGAACCTAAATTCAGAGGTCATCTCTTTAATGAGGTATATTTTCTTTAGTCTCAAGGTGACCTTTATATACAGGTTTTTATGTATCATCCCTCTACCTTACAATAATCTGGTCAAGATTTGATCCTTACCTTTACTTTAAAATCTTCAATCAGTGTCATCAGTTCAGGTGATTCTTTCTTTAACAGCTATTCATGTAAAGACACAATTCAATAGTTTAACATTAACATCTATTCATGTAAAGACACAATTCAATAATTTAACATTAACAGCTATTCTCACACAGACACATTTCAATAATTTAACAGCTATTCATGTAAAGACACAATTCAATAATTTAACATTAACAGTTATTCATGTAAAGATACAAATTCAATAATTTAACATTAACAGCAATTCTCATACAGACACATTTCAATAATTTAACAGCTATTCAGGTATAGACACAATTCAATAATTTAACAGCTGTTCATGTAAAGACACAATTCAATAATTTAACTGACACATAAAATCCTATTATTCTTCACCAAAAAGTTAAGTGACAAATGAGAATATATTTCACAATTCAACATGAATACATGACATTTGAAAGCTGCTCCATTTAACCAGTATATTTTCTGAAAATCCAATTAATTACTCTATTTGAACAACATTTTTTTCACTTAATATACAAAGCTTTCCTCAGCTTGCAGTGATGGGATATTCATTTTGTTATTAGAGGTTAAATAGTGACCGTTTGATTTTTTTAATTTCACTTTTTACCTTTACATTATAATTACGGATATTGCCTTCTGAACAGTATACCACATCTTTTATCTACACTGAATTGGAAACATAAATTACTTTGCAAATTCCTGACTTGAGTATAAAGATTAACAAATTTACATACAATTTGTAAAAATAAGATTGTAATATAACTGAACCAACCAGATTAAAAAAAATGCTATTCCATTACACTGGGAAATTGTAATAATCTGAATTAAGTTATAACTGTCTTCTCAATTCAAATTGTTTACACTCTGTAATTTCCTTCAAGTCAGCAAAAAGGATGATAATATAAATATACATATCCAAGCAAGAGCTCTGACAGTACTTCAAGTTACTACAGAATACTTGAATTAAAAAATAAAAATTTACCTTAATTTTTTCCTGTTTTGATAGTTTCGTCAAATCTTTAATAATCTTCTCTTCTCCTTTGTCTTTTTCCTCAACAACTTTTGTTTTCTGTAACAATGAAATAGCATGAATAAACACCTATCAAAAATATTTCTTTATTACAAATTCCTATTCTTACATATACATGAGAAAGAACTTATTTCATAGATGTAAAAGGGTAAACTGTATGGGAAAGCATATAATCTTATAATTGAGACAATATTGTGACAACTTCACAGAGTTCTGTTTTTCTTTTTCTTCATATTAAGATGGGAAACAACAATTAATTGTGAAAACTGAAACCTGATTATACTGATTCCAAAATGTGCTTCTTAATTAACTTTATTTTTTCGATAACAGATTATGTATTTACTTTAAATATGTCTAAATCAAAGTCCTGTTCATCAAGTTCTGCTGCCATCTTTTTCTGTAGAGCCAGAGCTTCCTTTTCTTCCATTACTGCAGCTGCTTCTTCATCTTCGGAACCTGACAGATCTTTTTAATGAAAGAAAATAAATGTAGTTTTTTTTTTAAAGATTGAGAGAATTCTATTATCTATTATATCAATTAACCAAAAATTTCCACTGAAGTTTGACAGCAACCACTCCTTCACATGATTTTTTCAAAATTGAATTATTGGCAAATTTTCTAGTTTTAGAAAAGTTGGTTGTCATATTTAAAAACAGTTTGGGTCTTCAATCATACTTCTTTAAAGGGGATTACAAATGCATAATTTCCATAAAGTCAGATAGCAATTTGTCCATAACAAGATTTAAAAAATTTTCTGATTTAAAAAACAATTTTAATCCTAAAAGGTATTTTTAGTCATAGCAGCCATAACTTTTAAAACTGACTCCTTACAGATGATGCAATTAAACTTTCCAACTGTCCTTGTCATTTGAGAGGACCAAACATTTTACTATTGATAATAAACAAAGGATTTACATACTAAGATTATGGCAAAAGCTCACACTGTCCCTATCAGATTTAACGTCTTGTAATTTATAAAATTAGAGCACTATCCATCCCAAAATCATTACTGTAATTCCATTTTATATGAATTTTTGTTGATTCCTAAATTTGGCCTAGCTCACAACTTACACTTTTTAAGGTGTATTAAACAATCAGTCTTATTATTTTAATAGCCGCTGTATAATAATTTCTACTCACTGCTTAGGAAAAGAAGAATGCATAACTTCACAGTACCCAAATTGCACCCATTTAGCAGAAATAGCAGCGGAAATCTTACAAGTCTTCTTAGAGACTAAACAATTCATATTTTTATGATCTGACACTATGCACGTCTTTTAACATAGCTAAATATTTTTTAAATATACATAAACCATTCACAGTATATATCAACAGATGAAGTATTCACTAGAAAAAATAAAATTTACTGTCAACATAGGTGCAATTTGGGTACCCTCACGTCACATACATTTCTTTTGAACTTATTTTGTACCTGAAATTATATCCATTTCTGAATGCATTCAGTCTTAAATGGTGAAAATAATTAGTAACCATGGTTATACTTACCCAAATCTTCATCTTCAACATCTCCACCATAATACTTTGACTTTTTTATTCCCCAAGCTTTGGAGTCTGGTAAGCCTAAATAGATTGACAAACTTTACAAATCATGTTTCATGTAACTCATTTAATCATGACATCACTACTTTACTTATACATCAATTTAAATAATTCTTTTGTGCTACTCTGAATGGTTTCTTAAAAAGGATTTTAATTTGTTTATTAAAGGAGTAGGTCCGGTAAGGGCCGATTTTGGCCTCAAATTTCAGGTTCATCTGATGAAATATTTTGGACACTTTTTAAACACTCAAGTGTCTACTTTAGTAGATTCAATTAGTTTATCTGAAAGATTTGGGCCGATTTAGTCACTAAAGACGCTCAAATGCAGGCTTAAATATTAAAAATCTCTCAATTATGCCATAATATGTCACTTTTCAGATGTTTTTTGTCAAAAATGAAAGTGGCCGCATTCGTGTTCATCCTTGACCTTTATATATGATATGTATTATCATCAAATACAACTTACATTTAAATATTAAGAATGAACACGAATGTGGCCACTTCCATTTAAGACGAAAACCGTCTAAAAATTAACTCAAATGCTAAAATTGTGAAGATTTCAGTAATTTAGCATGACTTAATGATGCTAGTACCCGATACATGTGCATTGTATTGTCAAAAACAGCCCATATTTACAGGGCCTAATCTAGGATTTTGAAGAGGGAGAAGTGACTTATCCTTCCATGAGGTAGAAGCGAGAAGTGGTCAATTTCTTGGAGAAGTGAGATTCCATTACCGTTTCGGTTGCATCGTGTTTTCATGATTATCACTAAGGAAATTGTTTTAACTTCAATAAAAGATATACTTGCAGTTTTTTCATATGTTATTGTACACCATGTATATATAGAAAGTTCTTAATAAAAAGGTTTAGACAATTTATAGTTGTTATTTATTTATTGATACCATTGTGTTGAACTGTTCTAAATAAAATTTGTTGATTGGGACATGAGGGAGTAGCCTAGTAATATTATCATGATTTTGATGCATTAAATTCATGTGCATTTGCCTCAATTTATTTTTAAAACTCCAGAAAAGTATATGACTCCCAGTTTACCTGATAAATTTCACATGACTGGGAATTTTATTTATATCACCACTTCAGCACTTGTCATTATTTTGTAAATCATTATTGAATGTCCAGGACATTGTGTTAGTTGTAAATTGAGATTATCGTTAAAGATTGTAAGTCTATGAATGAAAATATCTTTCAATCGCATATTAACTATCCAATAGAGAGCTAATTTCTATATTTTTTTAAAAATATCATCCATATCAACGAAGTGGTCATGAGAAAAAATCCACTGCTGATCACAATCTGGTCGAGTGTCGTACGTTTGCAATCACATTATCAATCAGCTGTCTTTCTACCTTTTATATTTCAATTTTTATTCAATGAATATAATAAATCTACCGTTAATTCCCACCTTTAACCTACCGAATAGTAAAATTGATCGACTCGTGTAAGTAATAAAATTAAAACAAATCAGCTGAGTGATTACGCAACATCCTCAGATGAAAATCATCGTAAAATGATAACTTAAACATACGGTCAGATTTCCATTTGAACAGTTTTGAAAGTTATATCCGAGGATGTTCAAAGTCGCCGTTGTATTTATTTAATTTGATCGTTGACAGTATTAGTCCTGGGTCGTATGAAAATCTAGATTTTCCTTGTCAGCCGCCATTTTTTATACGACTGCAAAAAAATTTTTGTGGTCGTATATTGGTATGACGTTGGCAACGTCGTCGTCCTCATCGACGTCGTCCGGCGTTGTCGTCCGAAGACGCATTAGTTTTCGCACTCTAACTTTAGTTTAAGTGAATGGATCTCTATGAAATTTTACCATAAGGTTCAATACCACAAAAGGAAGGTGGGGATTGATTTTGGGGGTTATGGTACCAACAGTTAAGGAATTAGGGGCCAAAAAGGGGCCAAAAATAAGCATTTTCTAGATTCCAGACAATAACTGTGGAACGGTGTATGGATCTCTCTGAAATTATACTTCAAGTTTCCATACCACAAAGGGATGGTTAGGATTTGCTTTGGGGGGTTATTGCTCAAACCGTTTAAGAATTAGGGGCAAAAAAGGGGGAAAAACAAGGTTGTCCTCATTATTGGACAAATACTTTAGTACAAAACATAATTTAAAGCAGTGTAAGGGAGATAAATCAAATACATCATTGAAATTATCTCCCTTACACTGCTTTTAAATTATGTATAAAGTAATGGTTAATGAACAATTAAGATAATTTAAAACAGTGTAAGGGAGGTAATCCAAATACAACGTTTCGGTTACTTCCCTTACACTGCTTTTAAATTATGTTTAAAGAAATGCATATTTATAAAGGAAGACCAGTATGGCGCATTAGATTTGTAAAATCTTTGACCACATTTATTTATTTGTTATGCCGAATCTAACCGTGTATTTAGATTTTTAATTTTGGGTCCAGTTTTCAAATTGGTCTACATTAAGGTCCAAAGGGTCCAAAATTAAACTTTGTTTGATTTTAACAAAAATTGAATATATGGGGTTCTTTGATATGCTGAATCTAAACATGTATATAGATTTTTGATTTTTGGCCCAGTTTTCAAGTTGGTCCAAATTGGGGTCCAAAATTAAACTTTGTTTGATTTCAACAAAAATTGAATATATGGGGTTCTTTGATATGCTGAATCTTACCATGTATTTAGATTTTTTATTTGTGGGCCCGCTATCAAATTGGTTCATATTGAGGTCAAAAGGGTCCAAAATTAAACTTTGTTTGATTTCATCAAAAATTTAATTATTGGGGTTCTTTGATATGCCAAATCTAACCGTGTATTTAGATTTTTAATTTTAGGTCCCGTTTTTTGAATTGGTCTACATTAAGGTCCAAAGGGTCCAAAATTAAACTTAGTTCGATTTTAACAAAAATTTAATTTTTGGGGTTCTTTGATATGCTGAATCTAAACATGTGTTTAGATTTTTGATTATGGGACCAGTTTTCAAGTTGGTCCAAGTTGGGGTCCAAAATTAAACTTTGTTTAATTTCAACAAAAATTGAATATATGGGGTTCTATGATATGCTGAATCTAAACATGTATTTAGATTTTAGATTTTTGGCCCAGTTTTCAAGTTGGTCCAAATTGGGGTCCAAAATTAAACTTTCATTGATTTCAACAAAAATTGAATTCTTGGGGTTCTTTGATATGCTGAATCTTACCATGTATTTAGATTTTTTATTTGTGGGCCCGCTATCAAATTGGTTCATATTGAGGTCAAAAGGGTCCAAAATTAAACTTTGTTTGATTTCATCAAAAATTGAATTATTGGGGTTCTTTGATATGCCAAATCTAACCGTGTTTTTAGATTATTAATTTTGGGTCCCGTTTTTTTTTAATTGGTCTACATTAAGGTCCAAAGGGTCCAAAATTAAACTTAGTTTGATTTTAACAAAAATTGAATTCTTGGGGTACTTTGATATGCTGAATCTAAACATGTGTTTAGATTTTTGATTATGGGACCAGTTTTCAAGTTTGTCCAAGTTGGGGGTCCAAAATTAAACTTTGTTTGATTTCAACAAAAATTGAATATATGGGGTTCTTTGATATGCTGAATCTAACCATGTATTTTAATTTTGGACATTGGACCATAATAGGTAAATTAAAAAAATTGAAGTTCTTAGACCACATTCTTTCTGTGTCAGAAACCTATGCTGTGTCAAATATTTAATCACAATCCAAATTCAGAGCTGTATCAAGCTTGAATGTTGTGTCCATACTTGCCCCAACTGTTCAGGGTTCGACCTCTGCGGTCGTATCAAGCTGCGCCCAGCGAAGCATTTTATTTTACCTGTGAGACTTGTCAATCACAAGTTGTCTCCCTTTTACCGATATTGATAGCGATTTGACTTCGCTATGAAGTCAGTCGGCTGAACAGATTTAGCGATTTTCAAAATTCTTTGGCGACTTAAATCGTCATTTCGCCGGCAAGATTATGGCCTGTATTTATGTAACAGAAGTATTCTTCTTTCCAATAAATAGCTAAAAGTTTACATTTTAACAACTTTGTAAAACTGCTATATTTTGGGGCCAAAAAGGGGTCTTACTGGACCTACTCCTTTCATTTAAAAACTTGTTATACTGCAATAGAACTATGGAAAGTTGTTTTATTATTCATCTGAGATTAAACATCTATATCAACTATACTTCAGTCTTATGAACTGTCACTTTAAGAGCACCAATAAGAAGAATGTTAATGAATGAAATAGCCTAAAATTTCAAATCTATTATGTGTTCATATGTTGTTTAATATATTTTTGAGACAACAGTTATCTCCACTTATGCCATAGTGTATAATTTAAAATTCAGAAAAAAGAAAATCAAACTTGAAATTTTCTAACAAGTTTACAATATACCATTAAGTAAACTAGAGTTTGAATGGACCTAATTTTATGGAGGTTAATTTTTACATTTATTTTATACTCTCCAAAAGTGAATTATCTTGGGAAATCTGGACAACCATTTGAAAAAAGAAGAAGGTCATCATCATCTTGGATGGGATTGCAATTTATTTTATCATTACTTTTGATCTTTTTGGAAGTATTATGCACCAACAAGCACACAAAAAGGTAAGAATTGTTATATGCAAAATTTTAGCCATCAGTGAAGATTTCATGGCATAATTGGGTCTCAAAGTTGAGAGGAAAAAGTCCAGCTAAAAAAATGGCTTCAGCATTATGATGTCGTAAGAAGGCATCACAGTAAAACATCAAAATAGCCTTTAAAGACATCATAATCATATGGAATAGTTAAATACCAGCTTCTTCATCCTCCTCTTCTTCCAAATCACTTCCCATGGCATCTTTTTTCTTCAATCTTTTAATTTGACGTAACTGGTGTTGATAGTTTCTTATTTCTTCATCACTTTCATCACTATCAACAAGACCCAAAACTTCATCCTATAATATTCAGAGCTTTTTAATATATTTATAACACATTAGTACAAGTTTTGTTTCTGGTGTTTTGTATAAACATGTTAGTTCTGCCAAAAGGGTCAAGTGTGCTTTTAACAATTGCTGAAATCCATATCTGTAACTTTCAAAAATAAACTGTTATCACAGAGATATGTCTCGCCTTTTTGTAATTTTGATAATGCAAATGTTGAAATTAAAATAGCAATACTTTAATATGTACCCGGTAAGTTATGCAAATATTCAAAGTCGATGAACCATGACTGAAGGTACATGGCTAAACAATCTCCATGGAATGAGATGTGCCAATGCTCATACAACTGCATACCAAATACCATTGACTTATTATAAGTCGTTCCCTTTAAACAAACCTAAACTTGTAAACTGTGTAAAAGTTTCAAAATCAATGAACCATGATCAGGGGTGGGGCAATAAAATTTCCATGGAAACGATACTTGCAAATGCCAATACATTTGCATACCAAATATCATTGACTTAACATTAGCAGTTCATCTTAAACTGATCTAATCACAAACTAATACATGCAGTGTTCCCGCCTGCCCTAAATAGAAGGGCGGCCCGCCCTTGGTGCCCTTACCCCCGGCCTTCTGCCCTCTAAAGTAAAAGAATGCACCCCTCTGCCTTTTCAAAAAAATAAAATTTCCAAATTTCATGCCTACCGGCGTTTCCGGTAAAATTGTTACCTGATTGTGTAACACTAATTAACTGACAATGGGATTAAGTTAAATACCTAGTGCTTTGGCAGTTTTATCACCTTTGTTAATGATTGTTTACTGCTAATTAGTGGATTTAAGATAATTGAACAAATACTAGATATTTAATACAGAATGAAATGTCCACATGTTATTCATTTGTAATGTTTATGTTCAGCATGTACACCTGAAAAATTTATTTCAGTAGGCATAACATAAAAAATAAAATCTTAAACAATTTTAAAGGCAAACATAGTTTTGGCTTAATTGGTAAAAAATGTTCTGTTTCATAACCATGAGTATGAAATTTAAAGAGGAATCAAAGAAATTTGTACTTTGAACATAACAAGATTCACTTCCTGTTTTTAATACTTCTTGTATTTTATAATCCTCCTGACATAGGAGCACTCAACAAATTTATTTTTAACAATGATGGAGAAAAAAGTAACTGTTTATACCTTCAGCAATATATTATTGCATCAATATAAAATATGATCATCTCCTGTCTCACCTGTTATATTTATAAAACTCCTTACTGAGGAGCACTTTGGTGTGCACTTAAAAATACTTTTTTGTAACAATTCAAATGATAATTAATAACTCTCAATAACATATATACTATATGTTTGAACAAGTAATTTAAATGTAGATAATTTAATTACATTCAACATTCAATTTTGCATGTATAACTCCATCTTCCAAAACTACTTGTTTATTTTGGTATAAGTTATAAAACATTGAAATTTCTGATTATTATTTTCCATACCAAATGTACAAGTTTGTTTAGATTAACATCAAAATGATATGCTTTGCTTCATGGTATGATAATTTGATGAAAAAAAATTCTTACTGGAACCAACATCAAGAACACATTAATTTCTGAATATGGTTTAGATACAACTAATGTTCTCCAGCAGAGCCTAGCAATATTCAAGGTAATTTACACACTGTCCAACATTGCCCTTAAAATCTTGGTTATAACGCTAAAGTGCCCTTTCAGACAACTAGCACCCTTCTGCCCTGAGATTCAAGCTGGAACACTGACATGTAAACTAAGCAAAAGTTTCAAAGTCAATAGACCATGACTGAGGGGGCGGGGCCATATATTCTCAATGGAAATGAGAGGTGCTAATGCTTATACAACTGAACACCAATTAACATTGGCCTACCACTAATGGTTCCCCTTGAACTGACCTAATCACAAACTAATACATGTTAACTTAGCAAAATTTTCAAAGTCTATAGACCATGACTACGGAGGTGGAGCCAAATAATCTCCATGGAAATGAGATATGCCAATACTTTTACAACTGCATACCAAATATCATTGACCTACCACTAGTGGTTCCCCATAAATTGACCTAATCACAAACTAATACATGTAAACTATGAAAAGTTCCAAAGTCAATAGACCTTGACTGAGGGGGCGGGGCCAAATAATCTCCATGGTAATGAGATGTGCCAATGCTAATACAACTGCATACCAAATATCATTGACCTACCACTAGTGGTTCACCATGAACTAGACCTAATCACAAACTAATACATTGTTGACGCCGCCGTCGCCGCCGACGCCGGAAACAGCATACCTATGTCTCGCTTTTTGACTCCGTCAAGGCGAGACAAAAATTATTTTAATAATCTTTCCTCTGATAACAGTTAAGCTATTTTTCTGAGTCATTCCTAGGTATCAATCTAAAGTTACCTTATGATTCTATTATTGCACAAATTTTCATTGCAAATACACAGCCTATTGTCAGTAAAACATACATGGTTGTCTATAATTGCTTACATCCACTTCATTTGAACTTTGGTGGATAGTTGTCTAATTGGCAATCATACCTCATCTCCTTTCTTTTATATGGAAATGGTCTGATAGTACCCTATTTGGAATGTCTAAAATTTGATACAATGATCCTTTGTGGAATAAAACAAATAGTAAAAATCTAAATTGAAGAAAAAAGTTTCTCTAATTCTTCGTCAATTTATCCCTTTCTGCACCCATTGTATAAAAAAAAATTAATCAACGTGTGGTTCGTTTGATCTCAGTTCTTCATTGGTTAAAGTCCGATTATGACATCGAATTTTCTTGCTTTCCTCTGAATTTCCTATTGTGACGGCATGAAAAAAGGCGACCATGCCTGATGACGTCACATAGAAAGAACACATCTTTTTGCAGATCATTCGAAAAGAAGGAATAAAGCCTGCGTATTGTTTGAAAATCATTAGAGAAACAGATTCCACCACAAAATCTTGTGTAATACGATATTTATCCACTCTCGACAGTTAAATTTTAAATATTTAAAACGCTTGTCAAGCCTCACGTTTTAAATTTGAAAATTTAACTGTCGAGAGTGGATAAATATCGTATCATACTTGATGCAGTGGTAGAATCTATATGCATCTGCAATTATAAATTTAACAGATGACTGTAATAATGCTCTATCAGACTTTGAAATATCTACCTCAGATTCTGATTCCATGTCAACATCATCTTGTATTCCTTTTCCTAGCAAAACCTATAAATTGAAAAAAAGAAATCTATATTAAGAAAGGAAATTACAATGTCTTAATCTTAAAAGTAATGTCAAAAGTTTGAAATCCAAAATAAATGGGACAGAACTGAAAACATTTATTAACTATTTAAAACTATTATTAACCATAATTTTCCTGAGAGAATACACTTTTTAGTACTACATTATAAGTAACAAAATATCAACCATTCATAAAATAGTTTTTGGCATCAATTTTACTGTTTTGTTTCTTCTTTTTCAAGGAGATACTGAAACTTCCTTTCCAAGCTGTTCTAATTACATGTATTACTATAGTGCACAATAAATCTAAAAGAAATAGGTATTCACAAATCTAATCATATACCAAGGATAAATAAAATGCTTCGCTGAGCGCAGCCTGATACGACCGCAGAGGTCGAACTCTGAACAGTTGGGGCAAATTTGGACACAATATTCAAGCTTGATACTGTCTGAATTTGGATTGTGATCAAATTTTTTCTGACACAAAATAAATGTGGTCAAAGATCTTACAAATCTATTGCGCAATACTGTGCAATTGAAGGTTTCTTTTTTCTTCTTGAAACTTTTCAAAAATTTGAAATTTGAAAAATTTTGAAAAAAAAATATAAACCCCTTAAATAATATCCACCCCTCCCCAAACTTTTTGAATCCCTCCTTGGAGCAATTACCCCCAAACTCAATCCCAGCCTTTCCTTTGTAGTATGAAACCTTGTAGTACAATTTCAGAGAGATCCATTCACTTAAACACAAGTTATTGTCTGGAAATTAGAAAAATGTTTGTTTTTGGCCCTTTTTTTACCCCATATTCCTGCATGTTTGGGGCAATTACCCCCAAGCTCAATCCCAGACTTCCCTTTGTGATATGGAACCTTGTGGTACAATGTCAGAGAGATCCATACACTCACACACAAGTTATTTTCCGGAAACTACAAAAATGCTTGTTTTTGGCCCTTAATTCCTTAACTGTTGGCACCATAACCCCCAAAATGAATCCCAACCTTCTACTTGTGGTATTAAACATTATGGTACAAATTCATAGCAATCAAAATACTTATACACAAGTTAATATCCTGAAACTAGAAAAATGCTTGTTTTGGGCCCCTTTTTGGCCCCTAATTCCTAAACGGTTAGGACCATCATCCCCGAAATCAATACCAACCTTCCTTTTGTGGTATTCAACCTTCTTAAAAAATTTCATAGAGATCCACTCACTTAAACTAAAGTAATTGTCCGGAAACCAAATGTGTCTTCGGATGACAACGCAGACGTCGACGACGACGACATCATACCAATATACAATCCCAAAAAAATGTTTGCCGTCGTATAAAAATGTGTTGGGATTCAAAAATAACATATTTATACAGTTACATGGAGACATGGATGAACCTTTGGTTATTTTAGAGCTTATAGTGAAGTGGTCAGACTATCCATGTCGTTTTCAATATCTAATTCCACCAATAAATAATGGTTATTGTGCTGAAGAAACAAAATAATGTGCCACCAAAAAGCCTTACATATTTTTTAAATATAACTCAGAGTGATAGTTTATCTAACCTTGTCCTTTTTAGCATGGAATTCATCAATATCATCCATAAAATACTCCTCAGATGTAGGATCTGGCTCATTCCCTTTACTGAAAGTATCTTCATCATCACTGTTATATACAGCTACTTTTTCTTTCCCTCCTTTTCTCCTGATAAAAGATATATATCAGCAATAAATAGAAAATAAGATAGTGGTAGGCCATATCTTAAGTTCTTTAAGCAAAATAGAGAAATTATTATTTTTTTATTAATTTATGTATTCCACATTTCTGGAGCACAGAAAATGCCATAAAGCAGACACTCATGGTTCTTAACTACCATACATGTATTTGCCAGTTTTGCCTGATTTCAAATACAAATGAATGAAATGAAATTCTAAATTTTGCTGCTCAAATTGGATTGAAACATTTATTTACACCGTGCATTTTTAATGCCCTTTTGTCTAATATTGCAATGATTGGTTATCAGTAACAAAAACATTATTGGCATGCTTATCTCATAATAATACTGTCATTCCGTATTCTGTTACTTTTTCAATGCCACTAGGGGATTATAAGCAAATGTTCAGGACAAAGGAACATTTTCATTGTCTGTTAGACTTAAACACAGGGACACATTTTGGAGTATTCATAAGTGCTGTGGTTAATTCAGAAATTTTTCTTTAAAGAGTAAAAAGAGAGATTGATTGAACGATTGTTAGTCATGTTGGTGTTTAAAGCCACTTTCAACACTTTGGGTTATGTCGTTGTGGATGAAGTGTAAAATGAAGTGACGTCTTCAACAATATAATACAGAGAAATGTGTCCAACAAAGTTATCAATGGTTTCAATGTTGAACCAGACTTGAGAAAAATGGATTGCTGTTATGTACCAATTAGCAAACTATCAAAATGTATCCAGTTTAATGTAATCACTGAAGCACCAGGCAACACAAACATCAACTGTTCACAAAGGAATTTATTTCAAAGCCTGATGAGGAAAACAAATGTTGTTGACTGGAAATAAAGGGCAAATAGAAAGCTAGAAAAACCTTCTGTCAATTCACAATTTAATTTGGAATTCATAATTATTGTCAATCTTCAAAAACTGATGATAACACTAGATCTATAAATGTGGTTCTCATATATGTTTTATAGAAGAATATTACAAAAAAATAATATTTTAAGGTGGTACCAAACACCTTGACTAAAATTAATTTGGCTCGTTTAATTTTCATAAAATTTTGACAAAATATTTACTTTGAACCTTTGACAAAAATATAAAAATTTCAAAAAACTTGAACCACACACTTTATCGAAAAAAATTCATTGGATATATAGCAGTTTGACAAACACTAATTTTGATCATTTAGAAGCTTAATATTTTCTTAACAATAGAACGTGATTAAAGCGTTCAGCTGATTTTTACAGAGTTATCTCCCTGTAGTGTTATGTACCACCTTAAATGTGAGCTTCAATTTTGGCCATATTAAACATTGTGTTAACTGCTTCCTCTTATTATATATGATTCACAAAATTCTTTTTTCTGGTCTAATAAAGAAATTTAGTTTATATCAATATCAAAGTTCCATAAAAGAATAATTTTCTAAAAAATAGTGGAAACATTGTCTTGTTTTATTCAATTATGTTATGCGTAAATGCATAATTTTGCTATACATTTACTATGAAAATATTACATCAAAATTGAATAAAATATAAAACTCAACACAGGGTCCTGTCTGGTATTGGGTCCATTCGCTCCCAATGCACGTTTGCACCCAACACAATCACCCCCTGGGTCAATTCGCACCCTATATTTATTCAAATACCGATTGAATATTAGATGTTTTTATATTTATAAATCAAAATATTTATATTTTCATAATAAAATTTGGGAATTTCAAAATTAAATATTTTTTGGAGGGATTTAATGTGTATGGACCATTAGAAAAACCAATTGACGATTTCCGCCACAGTAGACTTTAAACTTTGATTATTTGAATTTAATACATAAATTCTTAAATGAACTATTTATATTAGTGCATATTAGAAAGTATTGGTGTGTGAATGGTGTACAATGTGATGTGATGTTTCAGGTTTTTTTTTATATTATTTTAGTGCTCTTTTTTAAAAATTGTATCAAGTAGTTACTCTAAACATTTTAGTGCTGTTTTGTAAATGAAATACTTCATGTACGGTTAAAGAACCTGTTTACGTTTTTAGAATGTCACTTTATTTTGAAACAATAAAAAATACAAGTTTACTTATAGCAAAACACTAACTAAAAAAAGATTAAACAATTATCTGTATCTGTATATTATACAGTGCAGGATTGGATTGCGGATATATGCGCACTGGAAAGAGAGCTCGTTCATGTTGGTTAGTCAACACAAAACCAATAAAAAGGGTGCAAACAGACCCAGGGTACTAAAGTGTGGGGTGCGAATGTCAAAGGTGTGAACGTGAATGGGAGCGAACGTAATTTTGGACGAATGGACCCAGATTCATCCTGTCTTCTCATACCAATTGACTAAAATTATCGGTAGGATCCATATATTGGTGGTGGGTTTGGGGAAAATATGCAATTCATCTATCAAAACTTGTATGTTGGCGCTGTGTGACATAATATGAAGTCCCAAATTGCCTTTAAGAAATGTTCTCTTTCAAAATGGAAAAAAAGAAAAGGGGTGCTCTTGGGTGCCACATGCTGACATGGAACCCAAGAAGGGCTTTAAAACGGCGCGTTAGAGTGCACGGACAGAAAGTAGGGCAAAGACCTACACAATAAACCTTGAATAACAGCGGAGAAATAAATGACAAAAGGATCTTTCTCACTTTTTGGGCATTTTCAATGTTTTTTAACTTCACACGTGGTTTTGTTTTTCTTTAGTATATACTTCCGGAATATACTTTTTAAATCTCTCTTTTAGAGAGTACCGAATTACAACTTAGTGTAAAAGTCAAAATTAACCCAAAAGAAAGGTTCTTTGAAAGTCCAGCTTATATAAATTATTAGGTGAAAAAAAGGGATAAAAAAATTAAATCTTAGAATTCGAAATTAAGTAATTTGGGTGCTTTAAAAAAGAAAAGCAATACGTGAACTTAGAAAAATAAATGTCTTTTTTTATCCATTTGAAATACAATACAGAGTGGTGGCCCATGATTTTTGGTACCGTTTGATATAATACCCTAGAATATTCTTTTCAGAAATATTAGTAAATAAAATAAAAAAAAATATTTTAAATATGGATGGATGTGTGTTTGCTATATTCATAATAATTATTTGATTTTGAATATTGCAAAATAAATATTTATTTATACTAAAAATTGATTATCATTTAAAACAAATCAATATTATCTAGCAGGCTATTTCTCAAATTAAAAAAATATATATTAAAATTCCTGGTTTTGATTCTGTATAATATTTAATCAAACTGAATATTTGATATTAACAAAATCGTTTTTTTATTTATCTAAAATATATTTGTCAAATATAAATAGAAAAAAGAAACAATTTGTAATATTGATATATAATTTTCAATATGAAAATAGAATTAGGGTGACTGATCTATTAATCACAGATTCCCCAACCTGAAGAAATTGTTTTCTTGGTAACATGACCCCCACTTATGTCCACTAGCTAAATCAAATTGGACATGTATATTACATCCATTAAATCATAATGAAATTTTAAAAGATTCTGTCAAGTCAATCTTAAGTTATAATTGGGGAAAAAAACTGTTTTAAAGCTAATCAAGGGGCATATCTCTTGAACAGTAAATGCAAAAAACTGTTAAAATCAAAAAGGACTCATGACATATTGGGAAAATCTAAACAGATTTTGTCAAGTGTTATTTAACTCTTATCTGAAAAAAGATAACAAAAGTAAGAATTAAATAAAATAATCTTTTTTTTTAGATTATAAAGGAGCATAATTTTTTTACTGTAAATGCCAAAAGGGTCGAATATGACCAACAGTTTATGGTTTCCAGATTTTTTTTTTTTAACCATTTGTCTAACTTTAAACAAACTTAATTTGATAGTGCCCTATAAAGGGATGACAAACAGCCCTATCGATTTTGGGGTCAACTTGTCTAAGGTCAATTTCCCAGCAGCTATTGAGAGACTGAAATTTCAGCAAAACTTCGGTTTCAAGATGTTATCCTTTGAAAAATTTGTCTAACTTTTATCATAGTTGGTGTAATAATGCCCTATGGAATAAAGATGACCTTTATTGATTTTAATGTCACTAATTCAAAAGTCAAAGTCAATGTAACAGCAGCAAAATTTAAGTTTCTGGGTTATATCTGTTGAAATTAATGGTCAACATCAATAAAACATAATAATTCTGGACTTTGAATATTAATGAGTTATCATTTTATATAATATAAGAACAGAGTTCCAATGTTCTCTGTGTTGCACATATTTTATCTATCCAAGGTACAGGGGCAATGACTAAAAAAGCACTTTTTTTTGTTCTTTAAAACTTTTTATTAATATCTTAAGAGAAATGAAGGCTTGAGAGCAAATGCAATGTGATTTCCATTATAATTTATATTTCCAAGGGGCATAACTCGTTAAAAATATTTGATTAGAACTTATTTTGAAAGAGTCAAAGACATTGCTGATATAAACCTATGATATAAGTTTCATAAAATTCCTGCAAGAATTGAACACATGAGAGCAATAACATTGCAATTTTCCATATAATCAATATTTTCAAGGGGCATAACTCTTTTAAAAATGATTGATCAGCACTGATTTTTGAACGCTTCAAGTACATTGATGATATAAACCTATAATATAAATTTCATAAAAATCTGGCAAGAATTGTACACATTAGAGCGCTCATAACGCAATTTTTACATAAAATTAATGTTTCCAAGGGGCATAACTCTTTTAAAAATAATTGATCAGCACTGGTTTTAGAACTCGTCGAAGACATTGCTAATATAAACCTATGATATAAGTTTCATAAAATTCTGGCAAGAAATGTACACATGAGAGCGTTAACGATGCAATTTCCATAAAATTAATGTTTCCAAGGGGCATAACTCTTTTAAAAATAATTGATCGGCACTGATTTTAAAACTCGTCCAAGAAATTGCTGAAATAAACCTATGATATAAGTTTCATAAAAATCTGGCAAGAATTGTACATGTGAGAGTGCTTACAAGACCGGACAGACTCCCGGTATTTCCAGGTCCCCCACAACGCATTTTGCGGGGAACAACAAATCATTAATACATTCCTCAATGACCTGCCAAAGTGATTCCCCAATATTCACCATAATAAGTAACTAGAGGCTCTAAAGAGCCTGCGTCACTCACCTTGGTCTATGTGCATATTTAACAAAGGACACTCTCAAACATAGACGAGAATAGAATTCATGACAAAAATCTCTGTTTTGTTGATCTTGTATTGCTGATCATTAAGTCTGTTTAGTTTCTCTCTATCTTCTTTAGTTTTTGCTCAAAACACAAAAGAGGGTAAAAAAAAATTATCATTTAAGGGCAATAACTCCTATATAAAGTGACAGTCTACTAACTATATCGGCAAAATTTGACTTGTTAGTAGATCTTGCCTAGCTGATAATTTTTGTGATTTAATGTGTCCATTTATCTATAATAATTTTTATCATATAAGGCAAAACCCCAAAACAATGATTAAAATTGTCATTAAAGGGCAATTACTCCAATAAGGAGTTGTTGAACGACTTTCTCCAAATCACCTTAATTGTAGATCTTGTCTTGCTGATCATTTTTGCTTATTTATCTTTCTATCTATAATAATTTTTAAGATACAAGGCAAAAATGCATAAAATTGGTAACAAGAGTGCACACGCTGAAATGTCTCGCCTTCTTTACTAATCATTGATATTATGTTGATAGTCCTAAATATAAAGCTTTATTACAACTGTCACATAAACTTAACATTAACCAAGTAAACTAAACATTGACCAATGAACCATGAAAATGAGGTCAAGGTCAGATGAACCATGCTAGGCAGGCATGTACAGCTAACAATTCTTCCATACAACAAATATAGTTGACCTATTGCTTATAGTTTAAGAAAAACAGACCAAAACACAAAAACTTAACACTGAGCAATGAACCTTGAAAATGAGGTCAAGGTCAAATAAAACCTGCATAACTGACATATAGATCATAAAATATTTCCATACACCAAATATAGTTGAACTATTGCATATAGTATTAGAAAAAAAGACCAAAACTCAAAAACTTAACTTTGACCACTGAACCATGAAAATGAGGTCAAGGTAAGATGACACCTGCCAGCTAGACATGTACACCTTACAATCATTCCATACACCAAATATAGCTGACCTATTGCATGCAGTATTAGAAAGAAAGACCAAAACTCAAAAACTTAACTTTGACCACTGAACCATGAAAATGAGGTCAAGGTCAGATGACACCTGCCAGCTAGACATGTACACCTTACAATCATTCCATACACCAAATATAGTAGACCTATTGCATACAGTATAAGAAAAACAGACCAAAACACAAAAACTTAACTATAACCACTGAACCATGAAAATGAGGTCAAGGTCAGATGACACCTGCCAGTTGGACATGTACACCTTACAGTCCTTCCATACACCGAATATACTAGACCTATTGCTTATAGTATCTGAGATATGGACTTGACCACGAAAACTTAACCTTGTTCACTGATCCATGAAATGAGGTCGAGGTCAAGTGAAAACTGTCTGACGGGCATGAGGACCTTGCAAGGTACGCACATACCAAATATAGTTATCCTATTACTTATAATAAGAGAGAATTTAACATTACAAAAAATCTGAACTTTTTTTTCAAGTAGTCACTGAACCATGAAAATGAGGTCAAGGACATTGGACATGTGACTGACAGAAACTTCGTAACATGAGGCATCCATATACAAAATATGAAGCATCCAGGTCTTCCATCTTCTAAAATATAAAGCTTTTAAGAAGTTAGCTAACGCCGTCGCCGCCGCCGCCGCCGCCGCCGCCGGATCGCTATCCCTATGTCGAGCTTTCTGCGACAAAAGTCGCAGGCTCGACAAAAATCATCTTCAAAGGGCAATAACTTTAATAATGAGTCGACTGCCAATTTCGACCATGTTTGACTTATTTGTAGAACTTGTCTTGCTGATCATTTTTGCCCAAGTTTCTCTCTATCTGTCATAGTTATCAAGATAATAAGCAAAAATGAAAAAAAAATGGTAAAATTTGTCATATAAGGGCAATAACTCCTATAAGAAGTTGTCTGACAGTTTTGACGTATGTGGACAATTGGTAGAGCTCAACATTCTGAACATTTTTTCACCTGTCAGATTTTCTCTATTTATAAGGGTCTTGTGTGAACTGTATTTGCAATGCCCTTGACTGTTCAAACATAACTATAATACATCCAGGAAATTGCAGCATGTGCATTGTATTATGTTAATTATATTTTTTTCATTTGTGCTGATCATTAATCATAAATTTTGTATAGTAACCATGTGCCTACATAGGAAAGGAAAGTATTGACATAAATCTTTGTTTATATGTTCTTTTAAAAACATTGTGGTGCATTGTTTTGATTTATTTTTTTGTTCTTTTTCCTATGTTGTTTCATTTAGGTACATAGTGGTGCATTGCTGTTTGGATATGTTGGTTTTTAGTTGCATCTTCTGGCCAGTGACAATGGGATATAAGGGATAAGTATTTACATAAATTTCGCAAACTACAATGTTCAAGCTCGCTTCAGAACATACATCATGCTGATCAATTAAATCCAGTATTTGGAAAAGCAACACACAAACCCAACAGTTCTTGGTGATCTTTCTTTTATTTTGTTATAATTTCAATTTTTGGTAGCTATTTAACATGGAAAAAGCCCTAAAAAGTGGAGAAGACATTCATTTATTCAACATAACAGTATGAGAAGATTGATATTATAATTTATAAGAACCAGCACAAATTATATCTTAGTGACCATTTTTAATGATAAGTACTTAAATCTTCATCTGCAGTAAAAACTGCAAATTTTGTAGTTACTAACAAACATTTAAAAAAAGTACCTATACCTGTAGATATTGGGATGTTTAGAAGTAAGAATTTTGTGTAACCCTTAATGCTACCTAGAAATATCAGCCCTGAAGCAAAAATCTAAAAATACACAGCATATAGCATTCAATAGAATAAATATGGCATTGACAAAGAGATGTGTTTTGCCTGTATGCAATTTTGATACTATAATGCAAATGTTAAAATTAAAATGGCAATATTTTTACATGTAATCTATGCAAAACATCTTCAGTCATTGAACCATGACTGAAGTTGCAGAGCCAAATAATTTCTTTAGAAATGAGATATGCCAATGCTAATACAACAGCATACCAAATATCATTGACTTACCATTAGTTGTTTACCTTAAATTAACCTGATCACAAACTTTATAAAACTGTTGATGCCAACACAACTGCCTGAGACAGCAAGCTTAGGTTAAGTCTGCAACTATTTCATAGCAAAACAAAAACAAACTACCCTTGGTTGATAATTGATAATCCACCATAACACAAATATCCACACCCTAGGGCATCATTACAAAAAATATCCAGAAAGGTACCCCTATATTCTAAGATCAGGATGACATCATCAAGACAGAGTGAGACTACTGCCTAAAAACTACTGTCATATAAATAAACAATTTAAATCTGTCATCTTTATTACAACAATACATTCAGTTCCATTGTTGGAAACATGACAAAATATTCAGTTAAAAAAATAACATTTAAAATCAGAAAAGTTTAATAATTCAAAACTATGATGATGATGATGATGATGATGATGGCTGTTTAAAGTTCAGCAGTATAAAACTATGAATAAGGTATATGATAAAATGTTCTATCTTTTTTTAATGCATATATAAACACACACTCCAATTTCACAGTAAAATCATCCAAGAAGAGAAATTAAAATTAAAATGGCAATATTCTTACATGCAACCTATGCATATGCAAAATATTTTTTTCCCCTCAAAATAGATGTTGAGAAAACACAACAGCACATATAAAACGTGTACATGTATAAACCATATCTTGTGAGGAAGTGGCTTAAAATTAAATTTTGAAAAAAAAATTACATATAATATATCTACCAACACATTCATCTAAGGCAACACAAAAATAATGAATTCATAAGTCTAGTTTTGACATAATTAAGATTGCTAACATACTGCAGACATATCAGAACTATAAACACGCCAAACATGTCACTCTCATTAAAGAGCATATGTGATCAACCAATTTTATATACTGTGGTTGTACCCATCTTCAGGGATACCAAATTTTGCGGATTGATGAAAAATTGTATTTTTATGCATTTGGTTTAAACAAATTTTGCATACAGTCCTTAAGGAAATTTGTATTTTTTTAAATAATTAGATAAATGGTTCACTTATACCCATGAAATCCATGAAAATTGTACTTCACAAAAAATAATGAATGAACAATATTGGTTAACTCTGTTTTCATTTTACATGTACGAAAGAAAAAGTAATCTTGTTATTTTACATGTTGCTTGTCTTTATAATTAATTCTTTTTGGGGCCTTTTATAGCTTGCTATGCAGTATGGGTTTTGTTCATTGATGAAGGCTATACAGTCACCTTTAGCTGCTAACTTCTATGTCATTTGGTCTTTGGTGGAGAGATGTCTCATTTGCAATCATACCACATTTATATTTATAACATAAGTATAACAAGGATGTCTTTATCGTGTTTATAACAATGAATTATAGATGTGTATTACAAACATTATATAAATGTTTTCAATCTAGACAGATCATCACATTCCAAAACACTTTAATGTTTACAGTTGTTCTCCTGGTCATCACATTAAGGTCACAAGAATTCTTTCCATAAAAAATTATCCATAAGTTCCACATTTAAGATGGCTGCATTTAACATTCACATTTATTTTCATGTATTACTTTGTCCAGCTGACCTTTGGAATGTCAAAATGTTCTGTGAGATTATCCAAGTGTTTATTAAAATCCTGAAAAATTGAAAGTGCATGTTCAGTTTAAGCTAACAATGTAAAATTTAGCCAATTAAAGTGTATGAGATATCTTGAACATAGCATAAATAGTAATTGCATGTAAAACTAGAAAAACAAATACATTATTTTTTACATCAAAGTTACAAGTCTTGCTATTCTTGTCCATAGCAAATGAACTGAACTATAATTGCTAATATCTTCATCATTTGAACTCTGGTGGATAGTTGTCTCATTGGCAATCATACCACATCTACTTTTTTTTTAAACAGATCTCACACCTTACAGCAAAATCAATCCAGTGTGTTGACTTCACCTTTTTTCATGAAATTTTTAGTGGGTTACTGTCTCGTTGGCAATTCCACAACTTCTTTTTATTTTATATACATGCATAAGAGTGTAAATCTTACTTTGGTTATTTTTATATAATTTATCGTCAGCATCACTGATAAACCAGAAAACCTTACTATTTACAAATTTGCTTTATAAAAGTAAGAAGATGTGGTATGACTGCCAATGAAAAAAATTTCCACCATACCAAAGGATGTTTAATAGTTAGGTTTCTCTTTTGTATTGTTTTACATTTGTCATTTTGGGGCCTTTTATAGCTTGCTACGTGGTATGGGTTTTGCTCATTGTTGACGGCCGTACAGTGACCTTTAGCTGCTAACTTCTATGTCATTTGGTCTTCGGTGGAGAGATGCCTCATTGGCAATCATATAACATTTATATTTATAACATAAGTATAATAAATACCTACCATGATTCTTTCCTTGTGTGTTTTACTAGCCTTTTCAATAATCTGTTCTGCTTTCTGTAAACAGAAAATTTAATAATAAATTATTCAGTCATGAAATTTTTTAGATTTTTGCAAAATGTTCATTTCTCCATATTTTACATGTTTAGGCATATACATTTATAATATCTATAACATAAACATGTGAAATTGTTTGCTAGTAATGTAAACTAACTGCTATTTTAAAAGCTTAGTGACACAAGCCAATGCTCATTGTGGAATTCTTTACATATTACTGTACCTTCTTTTTTTTAGGTATTGTTACACAATATGGTCCAAGCTGAATACTCAAACCCCTTTGACATTTTAGATCTCCAATCAAATTTTGTTCCAATAAATAACCACTTTCAGACTTTTAAAAGAATTCTACTGAACTATTTCCTTATTTTTATTTCAACATGGGACATATCAGGATTATGTGGGTCAGTTGGAGACTTAATTCATCTGGTGAATCTTAAATATATCCTTTCAGAACATTCACTAATCATTATCACAAATATGTGTCAAAACCATATATATATGTAATTTTTGCCATATTTTGTAGAAAATTTAATTCATGCAGTCAGTCTTTCAACTGTAAAGCCTTCCAGCATATTCACAGTTTTGAAAGATCTTAAGGTTTAAACTTTCGCTTACTTATTAAGTATATAACAGCTGATTTTGTAATACATTTTGTACTTCAATGTTTAAGCCAAAAAGGGATATTGGCACAACTCATCCTTCCCATTTTTGTCATGCAGATTTAAAACATTTTCTTATGTTTCAATACTGCTTGTATAACTAGTTCTCAAAGAAGAATGTATTATTTTGGGCCAAATAAGCATGATAATCAAATGTACATGTATTTCAAACTATCTGTTTAGCAGAATCAAATGTCCTTTCTATGACCTTTAATAAAACATTAGAATTTTGCCATGGATAACATAACTTTACAATATACCCAATGTTATACATCAATAAAATAATAGAAATTTCAGAAAATGACAAAATTAGGCAAAACTTTTACTTTTTGACTCACAAATGTTTTAACATGATTTTAATAGTACAGAGCACTGCCATCACCCAAAAGATGTTCAAACAGTAACTGTATTTTGTGCATATTATTTCACTGGCAAAAACTATTTTTGGTAATGCTTGACATTGCTTGTACTGTAGACAAAAATTATGCTAAAATTAGCCTTTTCTATCACTAAAAAGCAGAAAAACCTCCCTATGTTATCACTTTAATGATGTCAAATTCAAAACTGCTTTCCTTATACATGTACATGTATTTACATTTTTGAAGCTTGAAAAATGTGGTTTATAATGGTGTCATCTACCTTTTATCCTGTGAATCTACAGGGCCAAATAAGCTTCAAATTGTACCAAAGTGCTAGACAAAGGAGAACTTTGGCAGATTCCAAATAATTGCAATAGGCAGTGCCCAAGTGGACCTTTGGCCATGAAAAGTTAAAACAAATGGAACTTTCTTTTGGTAAGTTGGAACATTCTTTTATAATATGACAATCCATTTAATATGGAATTATCAAGACGTATGAAAAATATGTTCTCAAGTAAGAAATACATGCAATATCAATATACCCTGTTTTCTCTAGCCTTTTCAAACGCTATTTCTGCTTTTGTACGTTTATCAACTATTATATGTGATGAAGAATCTCCTTCATTTGTCTTTTTGGCATTAGAAATTTGCTCAAACATCTTCTGAGCATCTTTCTCTTTGTCCCTTTTCTTCTTTTTCCTGAAAGAACAAAATCACTTATATAAAATTTTCATATTGAATGTTCGAGTACTGAGAACATGCATTATCAATGTACACATGAAATTTCTCACAGTGGTGATAAATATACTTACATGTACAAATAATTGTTAAAACAACATATACAATATTTCAGTAAATATCTGTTGCTTTTTATTTGGTTTGAAACTGAAATTAGCAAATTTGTAAAAAGAATGAAAATGTTTAATTATCTTTTCATTTGAAAGAAGACATATACCAATAAATTATTTTATTTTATGGTAAAAATAAATACAAAAGCAGAAAATCTTTTGTTTCAATCAAAAATTTACAGGGATCAATCTTCTTGAATGAGTATAAAATATTTGCCACTGGACAAAAATATATAGAAAACAACAAGCAATCAATTACTAATTTGCCGGCTTTTCCCCCTTTTTATAGTAAACCCATGTCTGTATAGTTTCTTGAAATTATTGAGGATAAACGATAGATGTTAGTGAGATGTCTAATGTTGCAAGTTATGTCAGACTTGTAATTTGTTATTTTGGCTGTTGTTTCAATGATACGACAGATTTGTGTATGTTAGTTTGTTAAGAAGTTTTATTTCACGTACTGATTCCATATTTTCGCGGTAGTTACCTTATTAGAATATAAACTCAAATAAAACTCTTCTAATGATCTACTAATGTATTTAAAGTCAAAACCCATCTTTATTGATGAAGATCAATCCATGTTTACAAACAATATCAACATTACGGGAATTTCCCTTATGTGATCCATGGTTGCTGATTGGTAAACAATATGTAACAAGCTCTGTCATTGGTCAGTCGGAAATATAAAAACAAAAGAAACAACAGAACCGGGAGAGTGTTTGGTTGACAAAGAATGGGAAGTGACAAACTTTAATAGAAGCTGGAATATGTCTGAGAAATACAGACAAGCGTTGAAAGTTAACATTGTTTTAATTTAAGATTGTCGGGGTGGGTGACGGTGCTAAATACCGGTGACGGTGCCAAATACGGTTGCCGATACCGGTGATATTGAAGTGATATAAAAGGTGCACATTAAGTGTTCTGTTGGCGGTTCCGACATGATTAATATGTCATTTAATTTGTTATACTAAGTTGTTGTCTTCTATAATGTAGTAGGGTGTAATATCCTTCAATTGAGATTATAGAAAGATTCTAAATAAGTGACAACCTTGTTACTTGACTGTTGAATTATAGACTAGTTTTGTATGTATATGTAAGACCAATTCCATTACTGGGGACCTGGCCAGACCAGTGAGAGAGCCAGCAAGACCCATTCTCTCCGTTGATTATTTTTGATATTAATAAAATATGAAACTTTATTTTGTTTAGATATTTTATTTCACAACTGAGAATATATATATAAACACAAGTATACGTTTTTCCCTTTCTATAACGTGTTTTGGTCCGACGGTAAACAGTGGACGTCGAACCTTACACTTTATAGATTATTTTACTCTCTTTTTCTTTGTGACCCTGTGTTCTCTGGTGGCCGACTCTAGCACCAGGGAGGCAGCGTTTCAATATTCCACAGCAAGACAATAGCAACCATGTAGTATCTAAATAAACACACTTTGCTTATCAAAACTTTGTAAAATATAAAATCACTTCTAGAGTCAATCCATATTATAGTTTAAAAACTTTTTTTTTCAAGAGGAATGTTTTAAAAATCTCGGTCTCACTAATTAGCGACAAGAAAACTTAATAAAAATATTATTAAAATAAATATATTAAAAAAATATGCATTGACATTTTTATTTTAATATACAGAAAGTAAAGTGATTTTCATTTTTTATTAAATATATTGATAGATATTGATAAATATAGAAATTTCGCTGTCATAGTATGATATTAATTTTAACATGTTCTTGTGTTTTAGAACAATAATACATTTATTTTATAAATTTGCTAACACTCTCTTTGTCTAAAATATAATAAACTGACTGCATGCAAAATGCACTATACGTGAATCAGTGTCCGGAAAAGATAATGTTACTAAAACGTGAATATTTTATTTGGGTATTGACTTATCAAACGATATGTATGATGTTTATGCATAGTTTAAAGTTGATTGAAGATTGAAGGTAATTAAAGACAATGTTGAGTGTTCAACAGTTGCTCACTATTTACTATTTACAATTATTGTATATTCTGGCGAGTGTAGTTGTATAGTCTGACGCGTGTACAAAGTTATAGGTGTTATTGTAGCAATACAATAAGGAAAACACGTCCTTTACTCCAACCATGATTCTAATTTGTTCATCCTTAAGCGTCATTATGCTTCTATGAAAAGAAGTAATTCTTGCAAGAAAATAATCAGCTGGTTCGAAAAAAATGCCTGGCCATTCTCTTGAAACCATGAATAAAGCAATAGCAGAATTCATAGGTACCTATCCTATTTAACAAACAAGATATTGCTGATGATATATGCAAGCTGTCATCAATATTAATTCTTTGAAAGAAATTGTTCAGATCACAGGCAAACCCCCAAATGTTATCTTGACTCATTAATTTCTTCATCTATCAATATAATAAAAAAAAATGAAAATCTCTTTATTGCTGTCAATGCATATTTTTTTTAATATATTTATTCTAATAATATCTTTTTTAAGTTTTCTTGTCGCTAAATAGTCTTCTTGTCGCTAAATTTATTCGGGTGCAGGTCGTTTCGTACCTAGTCGATTCGTAACTAACCAGTTCGTTTTGTAACTGAGAAGTTTCGTAACCTTATAACAATATATCATGATATGAGTTGTAGGTTATGGAAAAAATGTTTCGATTAAAAATAATAAAAAGACTTATTGGCACTCATACCCGTGATATCTTCTTGAATCTACTTATTGATGTATACATATCTATATTTATTTATAAAATAATTGATTGCACATAATTTTACACTTTACAAGTACAGTTTTGCACACATACGAATAGAACAGAAGAATTTAAAATGTCTATCATCATTTAGATGTACCCCGTCTTTATCAAAGTATCATTTATAGTCTTCTGCCAAGTGCACTGATGTCTCCAATACTTTACACCACTCATCTCTATTTTGCTTAGTTCTTTATTAATCTTCTTTTTTTTCTATCATAAGTTGTTTCTTTCATGTTTCTTGTTTTAGTCTGTTGATGTTGGAGCCTATATCACTACAGAAGGAACACCAAAGCGCAAATTCGTCAAGACTTAAATAATTTTACAAAGTTTTATATTAATACAATATTGTTATTATTAGATGCACACTTTGATCATTTTTAAATAATAACAAGAACAAAAGACAAGCAATTTATTTTGGCTTCAATAATCAAATATAGACAATTCTAAGATATATATATATAATTATATATACACTTCTAGAGACAAAACTAGTTAATTAATTTATATATAAATATATATTTTCTTTAACTGTTTGATTTAAAATAATTAATTTAAACTAATAGAGACGCACTTTATTACCATATATGATCACACCAGGTACGAAACATCTCAGTTACCAATCAACGTAGTTACGAATCGAACAGGCATCAAACGACCAAGTTACGAAACGACTAGCATTCATTTATTCTTCTTGACGCTTCTAGTCGCTAATTAGTGGGACCCAAAAATCTGGGAAGGTCTAAAAACAGGACAGATAAAACCAGGACAGTTATTTTTGATACGTTTTCATCTGTTACTTTTGTTTTACTCAACATATTGTTGAAATTTAAACTGTATAATAAAGAACAGGGTATATACTTACATTATTTGTAAAAAAAATAAAAAATAAAAAATTAATAAGTTAAAAAAAATCTGCCAGGACAGTTAAATTTTAAGAAAAAAATGGCTGAAATTGCCGAGAAAAATTTACTTATGATTGAAATAATTTCTCCAAAACAACTGTCTGGCATAATATTTTTGTACGATTATAAAGTTTAGGGAATAATCATTCTAAAGATCTAAAATTTAATATAATTTTCGATTTTTAAAGTTAAAAAAATCTGCCAGGACAGTAGCCGATTACGTTAGAAATTTTGTTGAAATTACCTCAAAATCGTAATATAAAGTTAAATATCTTCTTCAAAATGAATGTCTGGTAAGCAAATGTTGGTTCATTGGAAAGTTTAAAGTATAAGCTTTAAGAAAATATAAAAAAATATGGACTTTTATTTCATTAACACAAAAAAAATCTGCCAGGACAGTAGCCTACTCCGTTAAATTTCTGTATAAATGGCGGAAATTCACAACGCAATTTCTAACTATAAATGAAATATTTTCTTTATTTCGATTGTCTGACATACTATTTTGATACTATCATAAAGTAACAGACACAATTATAATATAAAACTAAAGAAATTGATCAATTTTCATTCTTAAAGTAGATAAAAATCTGCCAGGACAGTAACTTATTTGTCTTAACTTGTGAGGAAATTTTTTTCAAATCGAAATAGAAAGTTGAATAGAATATTATTATTTTTGTTATTCGTTGTAAAGTATGAACAATAAATTTTGTGAAAAGAAAAAAAAATATTCATTTGATAATAAACCTCAAAAATCTGCCCAACAGTCGTCCTATAGCTAATTAAATAATTGGTTGGCACGTGCCAAACTTAAGACCTGTCATTGAATCTGTGTATTTGTGTATTCTGTTATGTCAACCGTAAACCGAGCGTGTGGTAATGAGTACCTATGAGAAGATATTTAGTTTTTTTATGTTCTAATTATTTACTAGGAATACAATTGAAAACAAAACACATCGAAACACTAATTGATTGTATATTTAAAAGTAAAATTAGATTAGATCTCAATTTTACCGCAAGAATCAAAGATAACTTGGAACGTATAGGCGTGTGATAATCAACTTAATTAATCCGGTGATTACATGTGAGCACGTGTCATTCTGGGTATATATAGATTGCATTTTAATACAGATGTTCATTATTAAAAGTTATTAGACTAGTGCTATAATATATAATAACTTTCCTGCTTTTGTAAGTAGTCAACACGCTTTGGCAAAGTATATAGTTGACAACAACCTAATCACACTTGTTCCATCTCAAGGTGCTTTCATTGTTCAAGGTCGAAATGGTAAGTATTGTGTCACCTTATTCCCGAAGGAAAGTTGTCAGTGTCCATCTACTACTACATGCTTTCATATCCTTGCAGCAAAAATGAGCATTGGCCAAGAACCCATTGAAAAAAGAACAGTAGTAAATCTCAGACTTTTAACAAAAAACAATAGAAAGAGAGTTGACAAAAAATCAGGTAAAAAACAACCTAGACAGAACGATTACGATCCTGTTGTAGAACCAGCACCAAACTCGGCTTATTTAGTCAACACACCAAAAACACCGTCACAAGGACATTCAACACAAAAATCACTACAAAAATCCGCATTAAAAACAAAATCAAAAACACCACATTCTAAAAAGAAACTACACTTCAATTTGGAGACCGTTAACGAGGACGACAATGATTCATGTCATATCTCACCAGACGAAAAAAAAGATAACATAGTTACATTAGATGAGACACCACCAAGTAAAAAAATGAAACTTGAATTTCCAACTCCGCCGATTTCGATTGAAATTGAACAGGAAAAAAAACCATGGGTAGGTACACTTACACAAGTAGACAAAAAAATAATTTCAGATAGAAAGTGTTTAACTTCCGACATTGTTAATTATGCACAAAACATTCTTTTAAAACAGTTTCCATTAATCCAGGGTTTCCAGAACACATGTTATGCTCCAGTTTTCTGTAATCAACAAAAAAAATGGCTTTCTGAGACAAGTTTTACACCTACACAGGGTCCGGCTGTACAAATTCATCATACAGGACATTCACACTGGGTTACTTCTTTAACCAAACAATCAAATGAAGTTTATATATTGGACAGCATGTACGACACACTTACAACATCTTCAGAAATACAACTTTCACAAATATATTCACATGGTAAAAAACGTCTGTTGGTCAAGATACCAGAAGTTCAGAAACAAACTAATTCCATAGATTGTGGGTTGTTTGCAATTGCAAATGCTGTAGAATTTTGTTTTACAAGTTTTTCAGGTGGAATACATGTAGAATTTGACACAGAAATTTTTAGAGAACATCTTGTGATTTGTTTAGAAAAAGGTGAATTTATTCCATTTCCAAAGAAAAAAAATGGCATGAAAGGTAAACCGAAATATAAAACTAGTGTGGTGGAATGTAACTGTCAGTGTGGCAAATGTGATTCAGTAGAAGACATGTTAGGGTGTGAATGGCAGAAAGGAGTTAAAAAATGCAACATTTGGAAACACGTTTCGTGTACGGGGATAAAAGAAGGTGACACATTCCTGTGCTCTAAACACATTACTAATTAGTGAATAAACACCTATGAGGATTTGACACCAATCAGTGACTTTGAAGTTTTTATTACTGTCAAAACTTAATTTAATTTGTTAAGAGTTTGCTTCCCATAAAAAGGAGATTTTACAGTTTTTAATTTTTGTGTTGTTTTTTTTTATTGTATTGTATGATTATTTATATATATATGTATGTATGTGTATGAAATGTTTTTGATTAATAAAATATAAGCCCATGCCCTTTCAATGATCTGTCTGCTACCTTTAATTAACTGAAAAGAGATCAAATTAATCAACATAACGAAATAAGTAAATATTTTTTTAATGAACACACCAATAATTATGTTTTCTAAATATGTTCACTTTCATGAATATATCACTGATAAAGCTTAAACTGCAAACTTTGAATAGAATAAAACAAAAAAATCTTTGAGAATTATTTTAAATTTAAAACAAATTTCTTCACTAGTTCCAATGTAATAATGTACTGTCCTAGCATATTTGTTTTACTTTAAGAAATGATTAAAAAATAAAGTTATAGATTTTTTGAATGATTTGGTCCTAATAATATCAAAAAAGTATGCCAGACAATGGTAATAAAAATACTATTTCATTTATAATTAAAAAATTACGTTGATTTCCGCCATTTATTCAAACATTTAAGATAGTTGGCTACTGTCCTGGCAGATTTTTTTTATGTTTACAAAATAAAAGTTCATAAAATTTTATATTTTCATAAAGCTGATAATGCAAACTTTCCAATGAACACACATTTTCTTGCCAGACATGCATTTTGAACAAAATATTCAAATTTATCCCTTGATTTTAAGCGAATTTCAACAAAATTTCTGACGCAAAAGGCTACTGTCCTGGCAGATTTTGTTTGTGTTAATGAAATAAAAGTCCATATTTTTTTATATTTTCTTAAAGCTTATATTTCAAACTTTCCAATGAACTAAAATTTGCTTACCAGACATTCATTTTGAAGAAGATATTTAACTTTATATTTTGATTTTGAGCTGATTTCAACAAAATTTCTAACGTAATAGGCTACTGTCCTGGCAGATTTTTTTACCTTTAAAAATCGAAAATTATATTAATTTCTAGATTTTTAGAATGAGTATTCCCTAAACTTTATAATCGTACAAAAATATTATGCCAGACAGTTGTTTTGGAGAAATTATTTCAATCATAAGTAAATTTTTCTCGGCAATTTCAGCCATTTTTTTTTTTAAATTTAACTGTCCTGGCAGATTTTTTTTAACTTATTAATTTTTTATTTTATTTTTTTTTACAAATAATGTAAGTATATACCCTGTTCTTTATTATACAGTTTAAATTTTAACAATATGTTGGTTAAAACAAAAGTTACAGATGAAAACATATCGAAAATAACTGTCCTGGTTTTATCTGTCCTGTTAATAGACCTTCCCCAAAAATCTTAGTCTTTAAAAGATCATCATGATTCATGTCATTTGATCGAAATATCGTTTGATTTGATACTGGTTACCATCACTTACTTCTTAATAGAATGGTCTGAAACACCTTTTAGCTTCAATGATCCTCTTCCAACGTTTTCATATTCGGACATTACAAATGTGTGATCGATATTCAACAAAATAACATCTACAGCTGAAAACGTCAACACAGGTGCCCGGAAATTGGACAACTCCGGAAGTCAATTCGATTATCTCCCTTTATCGTTGAGAACGTTGAGGCGTCCCTGACACCGGAGAGTCTTGTAGTGGTTGTCACAGTTTTGTTGAGTTTCAGAAGGATAAGCTACTAAATTTGAGTGAAAATGCCGAGGAGGGCCTTGAGATGTGTTGTTGATCTTAAAATACGAGCGGTAAGATTGTGTTTAAGCATTTGTCACAATGCATTTTCTGCTGTTTGTTGACATTGCGTGTTTGGTCATGTTCTGAATTTAACCCGCTGGTGTATTCAGCTAAATAGAACTATTTGTTAAAGGTCATTGAAGTAGAAAACATTTTAATTTTGTATGTTAAATTGATGTTATGTCAAATGATATATTTACCGAATGAAATAAATTGAAAGACATTTTAAAGGGAATTTTATAATATATATACTGTTAATTTTATACATTAATTTACATACTATTTGATGAATGCTTTTCACCTTAGTTACCAAATCAAAGTTTTAAATTATTATTTGATTTGATTGATGAAAGCTGATGCAGTTTTCATTAAAAGAGATAATCTTAAATAATTTAAACTGTTTTCATTATGAATTATAGTTTAAATTAGCATGCTTAGTCTGAAAGTTTAGTCAAATCCACATTTTCTTATTGAGTATTAAATATCTGATAGCAGTAATTTTGACATAAATAATTGAATTTTTAAAACTATAATATTTAATAATTATAACACATTGGTGTTAGTGTTAGAATTTAAAACTTCTTTGTAAAACTCCCACTCATTTACAGACATACACAATAATGTATTACTGTAAAGTGAAAGTTACTAACAATTCTTCCATTGATGTGTTATTAAAAGGGAATAAGATTTAAATTTTTAAATGGCCATGTCACTGTAACTAACAAAGAATTCTTTGATAAATTCTTTCAACATAGAGACATGTTGTATTTGTATAAATATTTTATTAAGTCTATAATTGTCAAGGACAATATGTTGTGTGTTAAACACAGCCAGTTACATTCTTTCTGAAATATTTCTACTTGTACTAATAAGATGTACACCTTAAAATTACAAAACTTGGTTAACATCTTACCATGCTTAAAGCAGTGTGTTATTTGAAAACTATAAAAAGTATTATTAAATAATATTAACATGATGACCAATAGTGACAGATTATTGTTTAAAATATGTTGTGACTTGTATGAACCAAGAATCCTTTAAATAAAAGAAAAGGATAGGATGTACCTTGATTATGTTTGAACCAGACTGTTTCACTTGTTAACAATAGATTTGCCCTGGGTGTAATTCAACTTTTGACTTTTTTTTAGGGAGGTGGGGGGGGGGGGGGGGGGGGGATCTTTTTAATAGAAGATACTGACCCAGAAGTTTGACTAGAAAAAGGCAGGCCAACAGAATTGGTTTCTGTACTTGAAAATGTGGAAATGTGTTTTATTATGGACACTATAAAATAATTTTCCCGGTTTCTTTTGCTTAAATCAAGAATGTCAGTTTGTAAAACTATCAACCCTTTAAAGACGGAAATGTAAAATTTGAGTTATTGATTTTTCACGGTTACAGAAAAAAAAATGATAAAAATATGGAAAATATCATAATTCCAATAATAACAAACAACACCATGACCAAATGACATTATAGTCTAAAAAAACTTAAAATTGAGCTACATGATCTCCAACAAAAAGCTGGTGGTGACCTCAAGTTCTCTTTAAAGCTTAACAATTCCTGTACTTTAATATGTTGTTCCTTAATGTTGTACAATGTAGTAAAATTCTAGCAATGTCTGTTGATATAACCATAGAAATCCTTTATTTCTATCAATATTAAACAGTAAAAAAATAAAATGTATTAAATGTATAGTTACTTAGAATAAATACATGAAACAATGGCCTAAAATATGAAATCCAGATGTTTATAATATTTCTTTAATATTACAGGTATCAGCACCAGGTGTATGGTTAAGTAGTAGAGAAGATGTTTACCTAAGTATAAGTCTATTTGGACAGTACAGAAATACCAATTTAGTACCATCTATTTTCCCTTTACTATTTAAAGAAGATTTTGTTTTTGAAAAGGTAAGTGATGGTAAAAAAGTTCAAGTATGCACATGTTTCATGATGAAAAATAAAATTTTATTATGATAAAATAAGTTACTATGAAAATTTATCTAGTTTTAAAAAAAAATGTGTTTAGAATTGCTTTTCTATATATGTTTTTTAGGTTCATCAAAGCAATTGTTAACAGTTTGAATGTCTATGTTTTTCATTTTTTTTAATCTGCTATCTTTTGAAATTGAAAAAAAACTGCACCAAAATTGATGTACTTAATCTTCCCCAGCCTATAAATAAAAGGATATATATTATGTAATTAATTGTCAAGGAGACAGCAACCAACAACAAAAGTAAGTGTTCTTGTCAAGCAGTTTAAGCAAGTTGGTACCAAGATGTGATTCCACACAGAGATGCAAACACCGTCTTAATTTCCTTAATTACATCAAATTGCTACAAATGATTAAAAGAAAAATATAAGACCTTTAATTATAATCCCCTTAATTTAGATATTGTGACAATGAAGAGTGATTTGATAAGTATTAATTCCCTTGGAGACGAGCTGACAATTATGACGTGTAATGAAACGATTAAAAGAGGGTATCATCAACTCAGTAGTCAATTCTTCTGTACTGACAATATTTAAAAAATACTTTTCTTAAAATGTATTAAGAATCTAAGGTTCCAACTCCCTCAGGCAATGCTGACCATAGATTAAATTGGTTTTTTTACTTTTTAGGTCCCTTTTGGTCATAAACATGTAGCTCTCTGCCTAAACTGCTATATATATATCCTTGATTTTTTAGCATTTCTGATTTAAGTAAACCCAAAAAAGAGTATCAGTCTCATGATATTTTCATGTTCTATAGTCTGTACTTGATTCAATACCATACATTTACCCAGTAAACATTGTGATTACTTTTGTAGACATACTACACAGCTCTAGACCCGTCAGATATATCAGACTATTTAGAAGGTAAGTTTTTTTAAATAGAATATATTTACAGCAATAAACAGATAGTGTATTTTGTTGTTGTTAATGGTTTTTTGTCTTTACTTGAAACAATTGGATATTTAAACAAATATTAACAGGAATAACAAAAAACATAAGAATTTATCTTGATAAGGCAATGTTAAAAAAATGTCTTATAGATTTCCCTGACCACTTCAGTTTTTGTTTTGCTTTTTAAAAATGTCACCAAGGGCAATTTAGAAGTATGCCTATTCATCATGGGGGCATAACACATTTGATTTCAAAATATTGCAGAAGATAGAAGGGGTGTCTAGTCAAAGTTTTGTGTATTGGTCAATTGACCATGACCTTACATCCATTGTTAATTGATTTATATTGTGATAAATTGTTTTTATGAGCGTGTCAGTTTGTATTTATATCTGTAAATTGTTACTTGCAACTGGTCCTTGTCAATGCTTCTGAGTTAGTTGCATTTAGTTTGTGACTTTGTATTTTCTACATAATGCACTCAAAATCAAGTATGTAGAATATTAGCATTTCGTGTGGAGATGAAGGCAATCCTATTAAATAGTTATACAATGACTCCTCTATAAATATGTAAATGAATGAAATGATCTAATGGTAAATGTCTACTTCAGAAAATACTTATTTATATACAAAGTAATGTGTGTTTTTGTTTCAACAAGTTTTATTGTGTTATAGTGGAAACCAACATTGACAGGTAATTTATATTTTAAATGTCTAATCATTAAATGTAAAATCACAGTTTTGTAACTTTTGTAACGTATAGACTTTCAGTCAAATGAATTCTGTTTTGTATTTTCAGATGAATTAGTTATATTTGAACTTCTACAACTGTCAGAGTACTGTGATGGTGCTGTTCGACTTGGTTCCTACTCATGTAATGCTAAAGACTTTCTCTTCCCATACCCATCATTAGCTCCATGTTATGCATCCACTGCAAGAGAAATATTGCTTAACAGAACGATTGACTTCCCAGTAAGTAGAAAAAAAACCCAAGATCTGCACTAGCAACATCAACTGTTAATACATATACTGTGTCATATAGTAGTAGAAAGATAAAAACTTCTTTTTACAAAAATATTCACCAAATATTATAATCTGATTAACGGTCATTTAAGTTGATATTATTCAGGTTTTTCTATTAGTCAAATCAATAAGCTTTCTTGGTATGCACTGTGAAGAACTGATCAACTTGGAGTAGCACTAAGATTTATCATCAAATACATTGCAATGCTAATGGTAAAACAAAGTATATCAGTACTTATTATTAATAGGAGGCCAATTGCATGTTTCAAAGCATATGAAGAAGCAAAGAAGCAATATTATTTGACTTACTATTATTTATTTTTTACTTTTATTTTCAGGGAATTTCTCCAAAGCTGGAGTTTATCACTGTCACAAATATCAAAGAATCTGTGTCACCTGAGTTGGATGCATTAGATGAGGCTTTAATGGATGCAAGGGTAAAACTCAAAATAAGATGAAATTCTGTTTACATTACATGTGAAAAAAATAAAATGTGTGGTAAACTTCAATGAGACAGCAACTCAGCACACAAAATACCCAACTGACATTAAGAGTTCAATATACAGTCTTCAAAAATAGACATACATGTATGTCTTACGTGCTGAATGATTACTCTATTTGTTGAATACAATTTATTTGGCTTTAAGATTTATTGTTGTTTCAATTTAGATAATTATCTCCCCTTTCTAACAGTTTCTATGACTACAGCAGAATGTTTAACGTTCTTGCATATGTTGATATATATTTAATTGAAAAGCTCAAATACTAGTATACATTTTACCAAGCAATAACTTATGCATTTATCAAAAAAGTGAGAGAGATAAATTGAATAAAAAAACTGCCAATAAATTAGGAATTGAAATGATAAAATAAATCCTTCACTTAGTACAATTATGTGGAAGCACTTTTAATGTAACAATTAGTATTGGTTTTTTTTCTTCTCTTTATCACAGAAATCAAGAAGGAGATCAAGATCAAGGTCAAGAAGTAGGCCTTCATCCAGAGCCTCTATGAGGTTTGTAACAGATGACTGTTGGTTCTGGTGAAATGAATGTTTGTTTGTGCAATGACGTATTTTTCATTCACATTAGCACATTTTACCCCAGATTTGATTGCTTTGTTTAAAATTGATAATGTTAATTCATTTAGTTTCTTTCTTATAATTTATGCATAAAAGGAAAAAAAAATAATATCATTTCCATATATATATATATATATATTCAAGAAATAAATTGAAGATTTAATTTGAATAAAGATGAGTTTTAAGTTTAAAAGGGAAAAGAAGAGAAAAATTAACAGAATAACATATTCATATTACAGTTTGTAGACATAACCATGTGTCCTTGCTTGTATGTAGTGTTAATTTGCTGTGTGTAAGCTAGAAATGAGCATCTGTGATTCAAAAATTTGAATTATATTTTAAATTTTAAAATCCCTCTGTTCACATATTAAATCAAATTATGGTAAATGTAACAGAGATTCCAGAAAAGATTGGCTTAACCATAATGTAATGCTGAAAATTGAATATTCATTATACATGTATGTGATTTTAAAAATTGTTCAGTCAGCTTCAACACAGAGTCTTAATTTTACATATCGTTGTTTATATAAATTGTCTAATTTTCCAACCTCTGGTTCATATCTTGCACATTGGTGTATTTTATCATGCACTGAAGGAATAGATAGTCTTTTAATCCACATTAAGGAATCCCATTTTTTTTCAATTTTATATGCACAAGAATATATAAATCACAGATGTACAAATATATCTAATCCTAACTAGTCAGCTAACTTGTTTTACTTTGTTTATAGAAAATAATTTAGTGATGGTCACTATGTTACCTTTAACCTCAGTTACAATATTTTATTGTTTTGTTTTAGAAAAAGATATATTTTGACACTTTTAGTTATACATTTTCACTTTATTTTGTGCAAAAATCCTGAAGTTCTACACTTTTAAAAGTGAATAAATTGGAGAATTGGAAAGATTTTTTTTTATGGTTGTGGTTAGAAAATCGCTTAAAGGAAAAATCATATTCATGATGTTTCTTTCCCTATAGGACCTTTGTGCATGTTGAACCAGAGGAGAAAGCAAAAAGCTACCACCGGCCAACGGTCTCCTCTGTTTGTCATTCTAGGTCCCCATCCCCTTACCTCAGGAGCAAGTCACCAGGTCCAATAACAGACAATGGAAGACCACCATTTGTTGTCAGACATGTAAGTTATTTAATTAAAAAAAATAGAATTTTTTGTTTCTCATAAAAACTCCCTTTTAAATCATTTTTGTTTGGAAAAATTCAACATAATCCAAGATTTAGACATATCTTGGTCATTTATGTACTTGCTGGTCAAAACTGAAAATTATATTGACGGCCACTGTCAGCTAACCTAGTTGACATTTCATTTCTGATTGGTTGATTATTGTTTGTGTAAATATCTAGTTGAAAATATTGCATGCATATTGAAGATGAAAAAAATTACCTTATCTTCTGCAAAGTGTCTCTGTCAGCTATCCTTTCTATGAATAGAAAATATTTAGGAGAAAATTTTGACAAAGATTGTTCTGCTGTGATCCATTTTCACCATTATATTTAATAGCCTTCTACAACAATAAGAATGCAATCAAAAGACATAGTTTTACATTGGACCTTAATGGAAATTACACTTAAAAATAATCAATATTGGGTTATATGAGTTATAGAAGCCATTATAAAAAAAAGGTGATGTGGTATGATTGTCAATGAGACACTTGTCCGCCATAGACCAAAGAATGAAGATGTAAACAACTACAGGTCACTGTCTGGCATTCGTTAATGAACAAAACCCATACAGTATAGGCCCTGGGCTAACAAAATAAAAAGCAATTTAAAAGAATAGTCCAAAGCCCTTTTTTATGCTAATATTATTAGATGAAAATCTGCAATCATGGAAGACAGCCATCAACGGTGTCCCTGGACTACAGACTCCTGGCTTTGGATAGGCACATAAAGAATTTAGTTCACAACTTCTGTAGAATTAAGTTTACAATCCATTAATAAATTGTTTCCATAGCATGTAATTTTAGGAGAAAGTGGGTGGAAAATGTTATTTATTCCTTTTTACTTTTGATTGGGGGAATTTTTTGTCATACTAAAAGCATACATCTCTATATTTACCAAAAAAACAGTTGATTTAAATTGTAATTTCTTTGACAACAGCTGGATAAAAGTTTAATCGGGAGATTACCAGCTGGCTTAGGAAGCTCAATACTTAAGAAAGGAAAGAAGAAAGGAAAGAGACTCAGCCGACCATCAAGTGCTATGTCTGATACAGGTAATCTATACCAAAGAATTTTAGTTCTTATGGATACAGTATTGAAATGTTGGACAGAAACAGAAAAGATATGTCACTTAAACCCTTTACAAGTTCATACTTTCTCTTACAATCATGACAATTGTATTAATTTAAAAATTTTAAAGAAAAAAATACTATCCTCTACTATGGGAGTGTTTTACGACCCTGACTATGCGTGAGGGTATTGCACTGTTGGTAGGAATTGATCTTTTGCAAGTTAAAAAAAGAAGTTCCATATTATTTAAAATTAAGATAATGATGATTCTTTCTGCTTGTAGACATGTAATTATTGTATAGGTAGTTAGTATTACTAGTAATATTTCTGTTATGACAGCTCTTGGAATAAGGTCTTCTTCCCCAAAGGCTTGCTATGTTATGTCTGAGGATAAGTGTTCTGTGTGTAAAGCTTATCGCAGACATATGGGAAAACGTTACTGGGGACATTCCCCAACATATCATCCCACAGGCCTTGTTATGAAAAAGGTATGTCCTGTTTGGCATGATGTTTATGAAACATTGCAAAATAGTTATATGCTTTTTGTTTATTGAATACATGCATGGTCTCTAGGTACAGTGTCACCAGCTTTTAACACATTTTAAAATTGTTTAGAAAAAGGTGAGCAATGCACAGAGTAAAACACTTATTTGCATGATTATAAATAAACCTGTGAAATGGTTATACTTATAATCAATGTACAGAATGCATGTTTTCCAGGGTTTTTTTTTTAATTTATTTTGTAAAAGTTCAGTTCATCATTATATCAGTTTTGTAATAATTAACTCTGTGATAAAAGTTTATCTGATGCTTGAATGTTTTAGTTTAGTTTTTTTTTCATTTTTGGAGATGGGAATAAAAAAATCAAAATTGAAACCAGAATCTTGCATTATTTTACAACCAAAACACTTGTTGGCATCACTGTTCCCAAACAAAATAGTTTGAAACCTAAATAAAAAAAACACAATTTATTTTGTTTTCCAGTTTACTTACCAGGTATATTACCTAGACTGTGTAACTTACTAAACTGATAAAATGAATGAAAATAATTAAAGGAACTATTTAAGCATGATTTTAGTTTGTGCATGTTTTTATCGTTTATAGGGTATTATAGTGACTATAGCCGATATCCTCTATCATCCAGTGCCAGCTATAAGGTAATACTAATACTAATACATTAAATTATAAAATGCTCATTAAAAATAAATAAAGTAATTAAACAAATATTTGCATGTCTGTCAGTCAAATTGTTACAGCATTTTTATTTTGGGAATATTTTAATTTTGAACGACAAAATGTTTTGAATTTTTATGAATTTTGTAAATCAACTCAAATATATCCTTAAGCATATCAATGAACAAGTTTTCTTCATTTACTTATATCCTTTTATAATTCCAGGAAGAGGTAACCTCATCATCGCAGCTCTTATATAAAGCAACAAACATATATCTTACATTGGTACCTGTGGATTATCAGATTTATCCAATCCAGAAAATGAAATTATTGAATTTTAAAGTCTGAGCCTTGGCAATGACTTTAAAATTTTACAATTTAACTATGGGGATTGGATAAAACAAATAATCCCCTGGTATAAATGTAAGATATATGTATGTTGCTTCATATAAGAGCATGAGGTTACCTTTTCCTAGAATTAAAATGATTAAATTATATGTACACCTCTATTACTAATTTACTATTCACATTATTGACATGTATCTCAAACTCAGTGGTGGGGATGGAGAAGTGAGGACTTTAAATCTTTTGTGGTAGGCGTGAGCAACTGAGACTTCCTAATAAAAATTACAAGATAAATTTGATCTTTATTTGTGCAACTCTTTTATATTTGTTTTTTATCTGGTGAAAAAAGTTAGTTAACCATGACAAATCATGTTTTTTTAAATTTTTTATCTACAGTTGTTAACTTAATTTATCAAGAATAGTACATGGCAATTAAAAGTTTCATACTCAATTGAATATTATTGCAATAAATGTTCAAAAATCTTCTTTTTTTTTAAGAAACCAACCTGAACCATTGAATTCTGTGAAGCTCTGTTTTAAAATATCTGAATTTAAAAATGATTTTTAATCCTAATTTCAGAAATATCCAGATGCAGGAGATGATCCATTGTACAGATCTTCTTACGCAGTTAGTGATGATGATGGTATGTATATAAATAAAAAGGTTATTTAAAAAGAGTAGAACAAATATATTTCAAAGAGAAATAGTTTTGAAATAAATCAAATAGACACCTGTGTATGGTTGAAAACAGTATGTTGACCACTAGATGCCTTGATTTTTGGTATTGTTGAAATAGTTGAAATGCTATGTCAAAGAATTATACCTTACATCTCAATTTATTCATACAAACAATGTTATTCAGATAGTATTTTCTTTCTGTTTTAAGATTTGGAAGTTGCTGCATTGACTTCTTCCTTGAATAGAATTCGAGCTCGCTCAAGGTCACCAAGTCCATTTGTCTACAAACCATCATTTAGAAGTCGTTACACCTACAGTCCCTTAACAGCAGCAGAAAGGGTCGACTTGAAAGTTCGTAGTGCATTGAGAAGAAATAGATCTTTAGAAAGACTGAATATGTTGTCACCAGCAATTGTAAGTGTAATTATAACAAATGTGATTTATCATACTATTTGCTATGACTGTGCATTTTTGTTATTACTTGGTTTCTCATATCATCTTAAACAAAAGATTCATTGTATTAAGATCTGAAAGTCAGATATTTAGCATTTCAAATACTATAGATGAAGTGGATTGCCTCAATGTGTATTTTGAGAATTTGAGTGATTTTTGTAGAAGAAAAAGAAAAAGTACAGGGTAAGACATACATTCACAGGAAGGCCTTATTTGGTATGATTTTTTCATCTGAGTTAATTTATTTAATCATCCACCATTTTGGGTTGGGTACACTGCTTGTAAACACAATTTATAATTAACCTGTTTTGGGGGATAAAAGTTTGTTGTATTTTTTCAATTTTACTTGATTGCAATTTTTGTAAAGATAAAGATTGTGGCAGTGTAAATTTTATTAGTTATTTAAACCTATCAAAAATATTAACCAAAAATACTTTTATGCTTTTCATATATGCATTTGTAAGAACATCTTAATTTTTGGAATATGATAAGGCCTTTCTGTTATATAACATGCATGAAAATATTAAAAGAATATTATGCATCTTTTTTTTAGATGGAAATTGCATTTTTTTTCCAACCAGTTGTTTTCAATCACTTTAAATAATAAAGTAGTGTAGACTAAAATTATGAATTTAAGTTTATAGGTGAAATATTTTGATTTTTGATTATGTTTAGATATATACATTTATAATAGAACTTAGGACGTCAAAAAAGGTGAATGCCTGATGATCTACATGCATTGCAAATTAATTCACTGAACATTTTATTTCAATGATAATGTCGTGTTAGAATTATTTGCACGTGACAGCTTGTATATTAGTTTATCATGGATGTAGAGCAAAGGAGGCAATTGATACAAATATTAATCACAAATGCAACCTATAAGTATTTAACACAGCAATTGAAAGATCACAATAGACACATGTAGATATTTTTAGTTCACCTGATCAACATCATTTGGGAACTGTCATCTTACGTTACTTGAAAAAAAGTAAAAGTTTGGAACGCTGAAACAAACTATATATATGTATATTGCCTGCAAGAAAGATTATCATCCGTAGATTTAAGGAAGGGATAAGATGCTTTTGTTGTAATGTCAAAGGCTCCTTATCATGAAAATTTAAAATGTTTCATTACTGGTTTCTAAATATCAAAATCACTCAGTGTTAGTGCGGTTTGGATACTGTCTGGTTGATTGTGATTCACTTGACATCTCCTTTTATTTATATGGATAAAAACTGGCTTAATGCGATTAATAAAATGACAATGTAAACTTAAAATAGTTTATATGACTATCTAATTTTAAGGTGGTGTATACTTTTACATCTGCATTTGTTTTACATAAAAATATTTTTTGTAATGAACATACAAAGTTGGTTTTCTTGTTTAAATTGTTTTACATTTTGTCATGTTAGTACCTTTTATAGGTTACTATGATATATTTATATTGGTTTTGCTCATTGTTGAAGGCGACCTATAGTTGCTTGGTTGTCTGATGGATAGTTTTCTCATTAGCAATCAATCAACATCTCCTTATTTTATAATTTTTTTGATTTTTTTAAATGTAAAGGTATCATTTTCTAATTATGTAAGAATTAATTATAGAAATGTATTTCTTTGTTTCAGTCTCTTTCAAGACTTACGCCAACTTATAGACCAAGATATGTATCTCTATCTCGAGATTCTCTGGATGATCTAGCGATAGATACAACTCTAGCCGAAAGAAGGAGGTATTACTACTAGCGTTGCATGACTGGCATGGTACTTGTCAATTTTATACTTTATCACTAACTTTAGTTCTCTTTGTTATTCTCAGTTTAATAATATCATGGATATAAGTAAACATTTTTCCTGAATGTTAAATATTAAACTATTTCTTTTGACTTAAACTTGCATAGCCCCCCCAGAAGCTGAATGATTATAGTAAAATTCTTATTGAATAAAAAATGTTTTATTAAATTATTTGTAAGCACATGCTTACAATTCTTCACTGGTGCTACGCCACTGACTTGATATTTGCAAGGAATTATATTTATGTTCAATATTTCTAAATATTTATGTATAAAGAAAATTTTTATGATCTTTAAAATCGTAGTATTTAGTTATACAATGTAGCAGGAATGGCTGTGACTGTTAATTACTGACAACATTAAATGTGAGAATAACATTATAGTTTATTAACAACATCAAATGTATGAAAAAGATCTTTTTAAAAAATATAATATATGCAAGGAAGTATAATACATTTAAATGCTATATGTTTTATCTAGGTAAAAATATGGCATATCAGACTAACTCTCCAAAGTCATTTTTGAAGTATGGTACATTTATGTCAAGTTATTTTTTTTTTATAGAATTCAGATTAACTTGTCAGAAGCATGATAAGTACTGTAGAATGTTTATATTTCTTTTGCTTTATTGTATATTGGCTGCATATCAGGCTGTTATGATCTTTCATTCATCTGCTGCTATTTATGATAAAAGAATGCATGCATGACACGAATGTTCTTATTTAGGAAAAAAAATTAATAAAAAAAAATCTTGTAGAGATTACAACACAAATTATGAGGATCTGCTCACTGTCAAAAGCTTTTTTTAATGGACATTAGATGTTCATGTGTTAATGCATTTTGTTTGGTTCCTACCTCATTGACAAAAGAATTGTTCCTATTTCTTCCTCAACTTAATTTTTAGTTTATTGTACTTTTGATTACTTAACAAATTATTAATGTATGACTCTAATTTTCTTGTCAGTTCTCTTTTTTATTCTCCTAAAACTCAAATGGTTGTCCCTTATAGTTTTGATTCTTAAATTAACTTTCAAAACCTGTAAGCCTTCTAATAGTGAATAAGATATCAAATTTATATTGTTTTTATGCCTCTGCCAAAGCGGACGGGACATTAAGTGTTTTACCCTTATCCATCCGTCCTGCATCTGTATGTGGAAGTTGACTCATGCATATTTACAAGCGGGGGCATCTGTGGCCCATAGACACATTCTCCATTTATTTTAGTTTAAAATACATTAGACATATTGATTTGAGAAATTTTCTTCATAATCATCTTGATATTTTTTGTTTACAGACCTCAAGTTCATTTGGACAATGGTAAATATTGGTCAGAGAAGTCAGCTCAGTATTCAGGAACGTCACACAGACAAGTTTTTAATGACAGTTTGAGCTCGTCTTACAGTAAAATGTACAGTAACGCTAAGAAGAAAATTGTAGTCTAAATGTTTTTATTATTGAGCTAGTATAAAGTTGTAACATGCATCCAATGCTATTTTCTAGATATGTTAAAATTCTTATGCTATTTCTAGAATATTTTTCTTTTCTTTTTTCTCTTTTTTATTGCAGGGGGGAGGGGAATTGAGATTGTTAGGGGAAATCTTCAGCATAATTGATAAAGTATTCCCACGAAAGAGTTGGGCTGGTTTTTTTTAATTCTTTTCAATATAATTTCAATATGTTTTAGTATTTAAAAGACAAAGGAGGTTTTTCAATAATAAAAATGCTTAATAAAAATAAAAATTAGTACCGGGTACTGAAAAATAGCATTTGGATGTTGACACATTGTTAGATACATATCCTGCCTAAAACTGACTGTGATAAATATTTATGAAAATAATTTTTTAGTTTTAATTTATTTATACATGTATTTAAGATAACTGATGTTATATTTCAACATTTACTCACTGTTTTATTTAGTTTGTGATAGTTTATCCTGTTGTTTATAAACTGATTAAATATATGTATTTTCTTAATGAATTACTTATTTATGTTATTCTTTTATGAAGAAACAAATCTGAATTTAAGTGATGATAGTAGTGTTTTAACAAGATATATAGAATACATTCATTGTATATGATATTTTTAAAACTAACTTTCTTTTTGTAAGTTTTAGAATTTAGAATTACTAACAGACTGCAACTCTTTTCACAAAAAATCTTACGATTAAAATTGATCGTAAGTTATACTGAAATGTGTATGAATACTCGTAAGTTTTTTAGTGAAAAGAGCCGCTGCATGCTAAACATGTTACAAATGTCCTTTGAACTACCTCCATTCTGAAAAATGTTTAATTAAGATACTCAAGGAACATTTTTCAGTTGTAGGGTTTCTGAAATAATTGTCATTTTTATTAAGTTTCTGCTTTTAACAAGCTTTTGTTTTAATTGTTTTAGAGTACCAAAGTGAATATATATTTATATTTTAATTTATTTGTATGTTGTAAGTGTGTCTCTGTGCTATACACTTGTGTAAATTTCTGATTTTCTAGTTAATAATTCAAGTGAGATTCCAAAAAATATTAACACGAAAACTGTGAAAAGTACGACATTGTTGACATCTTTTTGAGAGATCTAAAACAAAATATTTACCATAATTAAACTGGTATCAAGTTTCTTTAGAATTGTTTAAATGATGAAACTAATAGATTTTGTTCACAAATATTGTATTGAAATAACAATTTCTTATCAATAGTTAGTTTTCAATTGACATAAATTGCGTAAGAGTTTTTCCTCTTTGCTGTCATGTTGGAGGTCATCTTGAACAAATTACTTCATAAATCAACAAAATTCCACTTTTTATACTGACTGCTAAACTAAAGAAATTGTTGTTTTCTGAACAATTTTATTTTAATTGAGCCTTGTTTAATTCATCACTTCGATCTAGTAAGGATTTGTTTTTGTGGCTTGCTTGTGCCACATGTTTAAATGTGGTAAGTCAGTTAAGGAAATCAACCAGTTTGCCGTTCAATTTGGCAGCTTAGGAAAATAATTCCAACTCAAATTACATCAGTTTAAAACTATCTTAAGTAAATCATTGGTTATTAAGTTATATTAAAATATTATATTTAATTCATTTACACAACAGGGTTATGAAAGATGAACAGGGAATTTTAATTGTATATTAATGAACCTCAGTTACATAGATATCTCTGAATATTTGTTTTCTTTTTGCATGTAGCAAGTCAAAAATTATTCTTTCTTTTTTTAATTTGAAAAAAATAGAAGTAAAGATATTTTTATCTAAATATTTATTGATATTTGTTTTATTGTTCACTTTTTGTTGTTATTTTGGTTATGGTGCATGAGTAAAATTTATAATCCTTGGCAGCCAGTCATTAGTTTACAAAATTATTGATTTATATCAGACATTAAACAAAATTTTATTTTTTAGAAATCTATTTTTAACATTAATAGATGTATGCACCAATGCTACACATGTTTTATACAACAAATTATCATGTACATTTGTAACCATAGCGTAGTCCATATGTAAGAAGCATTTAATCATAAAGTATTATTTATGAACATCTTGTTTTGCTTGTTTTAAATTACCTGTTGGATAGATACATGGTTTATTCTCTAAAAACTAATAAAACATACAATAAAACATGCAAAAAATGAGCTGACAAGTGTCATGAACCAAACTACAAAAAAATGGATACACTTTTTAGCTAACCTGGCCCAAAGGGCCAAGTGAGCTTTTCTCATCACTTGTTGTCCGTCATCGTCATCTGTTAACTTTTACAAAAACCTTCTCCTCTGAAACTACTGGGCCAAAGTTAATCAAACTTGGCCACAATTATCATAGGGGTATCTAGTTTAAAAAAATGTGTCCTTTGATCCCACCTGCCAACCAAGATGGCCGACATGGCTAAAAAAAGAACACAGGGGTAAAATGCAAGTTTTGTCTATTATTTTGAGAACCATTACAAATAGAGAAAATCTGACGGGAGCACAAATGTTCAGAATGTTGAGCTCCACCAATTTTTCATATACGTCAAAACTGTCAGACGACTTCTTATAGGAGTAATTGCCCTAAAATGACAAATTTTACAATTTTTTTTCATGTTTGCCTATTATCTTGAAAACCATAATAGATAGAGAGAAACTTTAGATAGCAAAAATGATTAGCAAGATAAGGCTCACAAATAAGTCTGATTGATGAAATCGTCAATCGAATCCTTATTAGAGCTATTGCCCTTTGTTGACAATTTTTACCAATTTTTTGCGTTTTTGCCTTATATCTTAAATATTATAATAAATAGATGGAAACTTTAATAAGCAAAAATGATCAGCAAGACAAGATCTACATTTAAGACAAATGGAGGAAATAGTCTGCTGACTCCTTAGTAGAGTTATTGCCCTTTGATGACAATTTTACCATTTTTTTTTTGCCTTTTGCCTTATATGATAAAAATTATAATAGATAAATAGACACTTTAAATCACAAAAATGATCAGCAAGGCAAGATCTACTAACAAGTCAAATTTTGCAAATATAGTTAGTAGACTGTCAATCTTTATAGGAGTGACTTTTTGCCCTTAAAGTAAATGAGGATTTTTTTTACCCTCTTTTGTGCTTTGAGCAAAAACTAAAGAAGATAGAGAGAAACTAAACCTATTAAATAATCAGTAATACAAGATCAACAAAACAAAGATTTTTGTCATGAATTCTATTCTCATCTACAATGTTGGCGAGTGTCCTTTGTTGAATATGCACATAAACCCAGGTGAGCGACACAGGCTCTTTAGAGCCTCTAGTTATTACAGTAGGAATATTCTGGATTTCGTTAAACAGTATATGTATTTTAGTTAAACATTAAAACTGCAAATAAATGAATGAAAGTTTTGCACTGTTTTAACAAGGCAATTTTTGTCTCGCCTCAATGAAGTCGAAAAACCAACCTTTTGACTGCTGTTTCTAGTGGCAGCAGTGGGGGTCAACAATGTTTAGTTCATAATTAGGTCAGTTTAAGGGGAACCACTAGTGGTAGGTCAATGATATTTGGTAGGCAGTTTTATTAGCGATTGTAAGTCTCATTTCAAAGGTGATTATTTTGTCATGCCTCCTCAGTCATTTTCTTATGACTTTGAATGTTTTGCATAGTTATTGTTAAAGTATTACCATTTTAATCTCAATTTTTGAATTATAATGATACCAAAATGATAAAGGCGGGACATATCTCTGTTTCAATGTGGAAATGATCGTTATTGGAAGTTTCATTGATCTTAGCCATGCCAATTCTATACATTCCAAGACAAAACCATCCCAATACTTACAGACATATACGAACCACAAAAGAAACATATAAATGGTCATTTTTCCCGTATACCATCATTCAGTGGAACATGCTACCAATAGTCACAGTACAGCTATAGTCAACCACAGTTGACATCTTCAGAGCACACCTTACACAAGATGTCCTCTGTCAACTGATTGAAACCAAATTTTGTAAATATTGTTAAAAGTTTAATCATTATTTTGTAAAATACATGTACTTATTATATATATTTATTATATATATATAGTTACGATACTGTTGTCAGGTCATTAAAGATTGCATATTTTGGCTTTAATATTGATTCACTTATAGGGTCTTTGCATCGGAATTAACACATTTATTCTAAAACCAGTTGTTGGCATGACACGGGTTATGTTCTTCTCATATATTTTATGACGGTATAATACTAAACCCCCAACAGGAGGGATTGTGCCTGATATTCATATGATGAAGACATAATCTTTCAATCAGTTTGATTGAGGTCTGGAGCTGGCATGTCAGTAACTGCTAGTAGTCTGTTGTTATGTATTATTGTCATTTTGTTTATTTTCTTTTGTTTCCTATTCTGACATCGGACTCGGACTTCTCTTATATTGAGTTTTACTGTGTGTACTGTTGTGCGTTTGTTTTTCTACATTGGCTAGAGGTATAGGGGGAGGGTTGAGATCTCAAAAAACATGTTTAATCCCGCCGCATCTTTGCGCCTGTCCCAAGTCAGGAGCCTCTGGCCTTTGTTAGTCTTGTATCATTTTAATTTTAGTTTCCTGTGTATAATTTGGAGTTTAGTATGACGTCCATTATCACTGAACTAGTATACTTATTTGTTTAGGGGCCAGCTGAAGGACGCCTCCGGTTGCGGGAGTTTCTCACTGCATTGAAGACCCATTGGTGGCCTTCGGCTGTTGTCTGCTCTATGGTCGGGTTGTTGTCTCTTTGACACATTCCCCATTTCCATTCTCAATCTTGAAATTTACTTATTGTGCTATTTATATAATACTTTATTTTTTTGAGGGGTGGGGTTAAAGAGTAGCTTTTAAATACCAGGCATGTGCAACAACAAGTAGTCTTCAGTATCCTGAAGTTTTGCTGAACTACTGAAAAAGAAGAAGAAGATTTGAGAGCATTGTTATTTTTCCTCTGAAAACAAAGATCTTGCACAAGATAAAAAAATTTCGAAGTATCATTTCGTCTAATGGTGCAGACGAAGTTTTTCTACATCCTTCACTTACATTATGTCATCAATGATAGCATATTACACCACCAATAAAATCAAGAAAGTGACTGAAATCCTCTTGAATTCAGACCAGGATAACTATTGACAACAAATGCACTGCAATAGGAGGATATTGCATAGACAATAAAAGTCTCTTTCGCCTGCATGATTCCTCCATCTCAGTTTCAATATGAATAAAAAAAGCAACACCAAATTTCTCACTTACTGAGGCATTAAAACGAACAGACACACAGACCAGAAAACATAATGCCCCTATTACTATCATAGGTGGAGCATAAAAAAAAGAAAGACATATATCAAGATTAAAGTTCATTACAATTTAGCAATAAATATTATAATTATAATAATTTAAAAAAAAAATTAGTAGCACTATTTTGATAATAAACAGTAGGAATATACTAATTGTACATTTAAATGTTTATGAAACAATTAACACAGAACAAAAAATATTACAAGAATTCGGCAAATTAAGTTTTATTATTGGTAGAAATAATGAAATATTTTTTGAGTGAGTTGAATTCAAAGTGTCAAAGAGTACATACATTGTAGTTAAAACTATTTTTGTACTGCTGAAGAAATAGAAGAGTAAATATGAGCAAAATGAAGGGAACCACAATTAACAGATTCCAAACAACAGACTCCCCTGAATGAAATTGTGCCGTATTATGTATTATAAGTTCTGTCATAAATTAGGTTCCAAGTGGAAGAAATATTCTGAAATATTATTTCCACTGGAACAATTATTATAGTATTTGTTCCTTACAGAATAATGTAAGGGTAGAAAATATGTGTACATAAAGAGTATGGCTTATTTATAACAAAGTGTCCAATGTAACTTCTGTTAGGCTGAATACATATACGTTGACAGTGGAAAAGCATAAAAAGTTACCTTTCAGTAAACTCTCCATGGCAATGTCGAAACCAATAGTGCTTAAAAGGGGATTTGATATACAAATTAAGCATCACAAAATTAATCCTAAAGTTTAATAGGACCATCTTAAGAAGACCATCCTAAGACACCTAAATTGGTGTCCTATACTTAGGACAATTCATATGATACATTATAAGTTGCAACACTTTTGATAAACCCACCGAGGACAAAGATATCCTAAGATGGAACATTGTTCTAAGGACCATCTTAAGAAGACCATCCTAGACACCTAAATTGGTGTCCTGGACTTAGGACAATTCCTATGATGACACGTTTAATAAACCCACTGAAGACAAAGATATGTCATAAGATGGAACATGGTCCAAAGATGGTCTTAGGACAGATACTATAGTCCTAAGACTGCTTCGATAAACAGGCTCAATACCTATTAGCGATGTAACTTAGTAAATTTGTTGAAATACGTGTATATGAACAAAGCAAAATGTCTAAAATGCAGGCTTAGCAGTTGAATATGACGCCTAGAACTGACCTTAAATAACTGAGCGATATGATGATTTTGATCCTCATACATTGACTTGATCAAAACCTTTAACACTTTTAGTGTCAATTGACCATGACGGTTCGAGTCCAGGTTTAATCTTCATAGAAATCATGTGTAGATGCTAAAGTATATTTCTGTAACTCATCTTCAGTTGGAGTTGGTCCTGATAATTTTACCCATAAAAAAACTAGGAAAAAACGTGTTTCAATGGACCATGAATAAAGAAAAGAGGACGAGTGGTTGAACACCAAATAATTTTCAATAGAATTATAACTGGTATTATGATGTAAATCTGTACCAAACATCATTGACCTCGTCCTTTTAAATTGATATCACCAGTTTTTTAAACTCAAAGTATCAGCAAACAGAAACTAGGTGTCTGACAGATCTGAAAAGTCCTCACGTTACCACTCATCACTGTCGAGCTGCTGACCAAAATGATAGCCATTCTGTTCAGCAGTACCTGAGAAAAATGTGACAGAAATATTTGTTGAACAAACTGCCAGACAGAAGGACAGACAAGGTGAATGCAATATAGCCCAACTCTTAAGAGTAGGGATATAACAGGACAACAAGC